TATATGCAGAATATGTTCTGAATGCTGACTTTAATGTAAGAAACAGTGGAAAATCTTCAGTGGATTCATTAAAAGAAAAAATTTGACATATCAGATACTTACACACCTTGCATTTGGAGTTGGTTGAAGTGGTTGGCAAGCCAGTGTGTCATGAAGTAACACTGTATGACTTGTGAGTAATTGATTGACTGACCTTTTTCAGCAGTCTAATACTCTCCAGACTCCCCCTAGCAAATGTAAGATGGTGTGTAAATCAAGTCACAATCTGCAAAGACTCAATATAAGATATATCCATTCACAAAACAGTTCCTGGAGTTCTGTGTGACAATGACTCACAACAACAATACCTACCAAAATATTGCACAGTTTCAATGCCTTTCATGTCAAATAAATATCTGTATAGCTTGGTCCTTGGCTCAAGAGGCATGGCCTTGCCAGTGACTGGATGTGTGTATGTCAGACAGTCACTGATGGGTGGTCAGAAGGTGTTATTGTGTGGTCAATTTGGGGCAGCTAGGCCATGGTTCTGTATTATTTTGGAGTCAACAAGACAAGAGGGGAGGTACTTGTGAGTTAAAATCCAATGTCTACTCTATGTCTCAGTTGGCTGAGTTGGGTTGAGGCAGTGCATTAACAGTTTGAGAGGTCTGTCCACAGCTCTCATAACATGAACCTGATTATTTCTTTTCAGAAAATCAGCCAAAAGTCTTGCAAAAGAATTAAGCTAGCTCAAAGTTAGACTCTGATGAGTATCAGGGTAGAGCATGGCAAGTGGGGACATTCATTCTTTGAGTAGCAATAATGACCAGGCAGAATTATAACAATGAGATATTCTGGTGAAAAAAGGTAGTAAATAGCAAGTCACATTGTTAATGTGGGTTATTATGAATGTATAGAACAGTGATTTGGAATATATATATATCCTTAGAGCATCACCAATGGGCGCCTGGAAATGTATGATTTCTGACAGAAACGTAAGTCAAAAAATATGTTTTCCAATTTTTTTCAAAATTCACCCTCCACCGTGTGACCTAGGTTGCATGGTTACAGTTGGCCTGGTGTGTGAGCATTGTTTTCCAAACAATTAGGTTTTGCAGGGTTCAACCAGATTCTTTTTGGGTACCTCTGGAAACCTGTTTTCCCATGTTTTAGACATATTTAGGACACATGTAGACCAGCTCTTGTCAAAGATTGGTCCAAACTTCAAACTTCATGAACAGCAATCAAGATGGATGATTGCTAAACTCACAAGGATAGACGTCCGTTGAAGTCCAAATCTGGTTTCCAGACGGCTCCAGTTTGCGCGCTGCAGAGAAGTGTTACTGGATCAAAATACATAGAGCAGTACAGTGACCTACTGACAAATGTACTGCTCTGTATGAGGTTTTCAGTTTGTGGCGCGTTGGTGATGCTCTTATTCATGTGACATCCACTGAGTTCAAGAACAAGAGGGTATTTGCCTACCCTGTTGCATGCAATGTGCATGAGGCCAGAGCGCACGATTGAGTAAATTGGATGGCTTTTGTTTTGGGAGCCTGGCAATGTGCATGAATCAAGAGCGCACAAGTAAGTAATTAAAAGAAATGAGATTCATAGAAAACTTACTAAAATACTTAGTAAGAAATACTGGAGCGGTAAGATGCAATGTTTGGGATGAAATCCTAGGCTGAGTGCCTAGGGTAGATGATTTCTTGACCATAAAACAACAACAACACCCTACGGGGTGGCTAGCGGCCAACAATGATAAAAAATGTAAAAATAATGAAACTTGAAACTTGATAATGAAAAAAATAAGAAATGTGCGCCACATGGCTTGATAAGCACCGTAACCAACAACCAAACAACTGCCAGACCATAACTGATAACAAACTAAAAAATAACATAAAAAATTTAACGCACAAACACGACAAAAGAAAAATGAAAAAGATAAAAAATGAAAATATGAAAAAGATAAAAAGATGAGAAAATGAAAAAAAATGAAAAAGTGCCAAATACGCAGCAAATAAGGGAAATTGGGAGGGTGGCACGCGAAAAGCATACGTGACAGATGAACTAATAGCTCAATGCAATAAGTTGACAATGGTAAAACGCAATGGGAGAAAATCAGTAAAGACAAAAAGAGACCTATGACATCATCTAAAGATGAGTGGTAAAATAGATGAAATAAAGTCCGACCCGTCAGTGACATGTCGTATGTAATTCAGTTCTGATTTCTCTCATTCCATTCCGTTAATAACAAGTTACCAACATTAAATCTTTTGTGTTTATTGCAGTATGGCTCTCGTGTTCATAAGGTTTTCAACACAAGGAAATCAATAAAGGTGCATTTGCCTTCCTGGTGCCATCATGGTCCGGGACCAGGGTATTAAGGTTGTGCCTATGTGAGCCTATGTGTTAAATTGTAAGATTGGAAATGTGGTCTTGCATTTATTGTCTGTCATTTTAAGGTGTCCCAAGGCGGATAGATATGTGATACTACCAAGAGGTGAACATCAATCGAGGCAAAGAGGTGGGTCCCGAAAGGATTTGGGATTGTACAGCCGTTTCATGAAAGACTGATTTTTTTTTCAAAAAGTCGTCGCGGTGCCAAAACCCAGTTTCGGCTTATTGCCCAGTTTTGTACAGATTTGTTCACTAGAAGAATCCTCGCGAGAGGATTCCAAATATCCCCTCCAATCATCCGTCACCCCTATTTCAATGCAGATCATATTTGATACTCAATGCTCACTCACTCGATGGGGTGCATCCTTGGCGAAGGGCCCCTTTTCTGATCTGGTACATCACTCGCACTTATCTCTAACCTCGTTTTTCCCACCTCTCTGCCCCTCTCACCATCTCCCATCATATGCTGAGTTCCGTCAAAAATGCCTTTCAATACTTACAGCCCAGACCTCAAGGTTGCAATTGTCCGAATGGTCTTGCGAGGGATGAACTACCCGGATATTGTCCGTACTTTAGGACTCCAAGTTTCGATCGCTTCGGTTCGACGTTGGTACAACCTCTACCGCACTACACGCTCGGTGGTTACCAATCCTAATCTTTGGATGGATCAAGGAGCGCCCACTCGGCTCGACGATGAACAGCGTCGTTTCCTCCTGGATTCCCTTGACGGCGATCCAACCCTTTATTTGGACGAGCTGAAATTAAAACTTCTTGAAACGTTCAATATCAACATATCAACTGGAGCTCTATTCAATGAAATCAAGTCTCGACTGAACCTTACCTGAAAAAAAGCGCGAACGGTCCATCCAAACCAAAGTCCACTCGCTCGAGGCCAATACGTCGCAAGAATTTTTGGAATTGATGTGCGCTGTCTGGTTTTCGCTGGTAGGTCTTCCCATGTTTTTCATTCTTGTGATGATATGATTTGCTTATGATTGTATTCAGATGAAAGCAGCCTAACCAAGCGGCGCTTGTATCGAGATTACGCCAGGTCTCGCCGCGGACAGAGAACCCGTCGCCTGCAACGTGCAACTACTGCAAATCGATGGACCATCCTACCAGCGATCTCAATGAGTGGAATTGTTGGTCTTCAAGTGATTGAGGGAGGTTACAACCGAGTGAGATTTGAGGAGTATCTAGAATTCCATCTGGTAAGCTTTTGTCTGTTTGAATCAGTTGATTGGTCAGCTGATTAACTTCCTACAACTGTAGTTGCCATTCATGCAACCATGGCCGGCTAGGAACTCGGTTCTCGTGATGGATAATGCCAGAATCCATCACGGTGGTCGAATTCCTGACCTCTGTGCCGCCCGGGGGATTCGACTCATCTACCTGCCAGCGTATAGCCCCGACTTCAATCCAATTGAAAAAGGCTTCTCGCCATTGAAGGCCAATCTTCGCCGATCAGGGATTTTACATCGGGATCTGACTAAGGATGAGGAGAAAGAAGCAATTTGGGTCGCTTGTATGGACATATTCAGTGAGGAGCTTACCACGGCTCTCTTTAGAGGGTCTGGTTATTTTTAGTTTGAAAATGACTTTTAAATCTTAAGACCACCCATTGTCTGGCTGTGACCGATAGATGGATATAGATGGGTTGTAAACTTTCATAAAATTTTCTCATTTGACTTGATTTCAAATCTTTTTTTGTTTCCGGGTATGAATACCTCAAACAATGTTCTTTTTAACATGCACCGCTACTAAAGTAAATGTGTATTGAAAAAGAGTGGAGTGAATCTGTCTGGTCATAAAACAAATGATTGATTCATCATTTGTTTAATGACATCAAGCAAATTGCACAAGTGAGATTAGGAAAGAATCGATTGAAATGATTCTTTCCTAATCTCTATGAATTCCGAAAAGGAAAACATGAGTAATGAACATTTTTTTGAACATTGTGAGAGTAGTGATTGTGTGGCTTTGGTCAACCTCATCGTATCAAAACCAGTGTTGGGTAGACCAAGATCGTTCAAAACGATATCACTTGATGCATATTGGCCATTCAAGGGAGTTGGTTGGCTTGACTACTTGTTCAAACTAACAGAAGAAAGACCGGGTCATCTTCATCCTCCAGACCATATCGATGATGACCTTCCCTGGTTGTGACGGGATGAAAAAGACGTTTCAAAAAGAAACCAATCATTCATGAGGTTCTTAGTGTCATCAACGAACCAGCTATAGATAATTATTGAATCTATAGCCGGTTCGATCACAATAGACCAACGATCACCTAATCAACAAAGGCACTCAAGATAAACTCATCACACTCAGACACCGAAGACGTTTTACAAACATCACAGAAGTGGCTCAATTAACAAGCGAGAGGCAGTCAAAAACATTGAGCGATCGAAAGACACCAGGTTTTATTGAATAGGAAAAGATACCATCTCTTTTGAAAAATTAACCAGATAGATAATCAAACTAGACTTCGCTTGGGTGGAAAGACAACATGAAAACTGTGAGCAATTGGTTGTCACTTGAGGGTGAACCCAGAAATAACAACGCTCTTTTTGTAAATAACACTAAACGCTAGCAGAGACCAGTAACGGTTGTTAAGCTCAAGACATGATTTCTATGTCGTCTGAGGTAAACGTTCTGTCTTCAAAATCATCTTGAAAATCCCCTTCAAGGTCTTCTTCAAAATCTCCTTCACAACCTAAGCCAGTCATATCAATGATGTTTGAGTTTTGAAGCAATGGATCGATGTGAGCATGTACTCCTGAACCGGCTAGAAAGCAAATGAAATCAAACAATGTGTGAGTTGTGGTACGTGGTGGTTTCTTGAGTTGAAAGTATGCAGAAATCACCTTGACTTGAGGTTGAAGTCGTTTGTGTAATAACTGGTTTGGCTGGAAGAGTCGGTTGTCCAGCGCATATCACCTTTGACTTTTTGTGGGCCGCAGAAGCAGAAGGACCAGAATTTTTTTGGTTCGATGGGTCACTCGGTAATGCGACTTCAGAGCCATCATGGCGGTTTCGCTTCAAATTGGAACTGTGCACATTTTTGGAACTTGACGAGTCGCCACGACACTTGGTTTTTTTCATTACCTCGCGGTAAGCTCGAGAGTCAGGAGGCATCTCCAAAGTCGCGGTTCCATCAATCTAGCAAATTTAGATAAATTAACTCCAGTTGATCCAGATGGTAACTAGGGTAATGCTTACTACTGCTTTCGCCCAGATATGAGCGCCTTGCAATGAAAAGTGATAACGGAAGGTTGGGTCCCAGGGTGCTCTTAAAATTTTGCCACCATCGCCACCAGGACCAATCTGGCTATGGCGGTGGATGAGCTTGTCTACAAGCTCCCAGGACGTCCTTTCATCTTGATGTTCCTAGAAATACAAACAAGATCCTTCGATCAGCTCTGCCAAGAGAAGACTTGGAAGCCAGCCACACCTTAATCTCCAAAGGCGTTAACGACTTCTTGTTCAAAAGTCGATCAGTCGCTGAAACCTGTGGAATTCCAAACAATCAATTCGGGACTTGTTAATCAAGGTAGAAAATCAAAACAAACCGCCGCCAATTCACGCTTCTTTTGAGCATCACTAGGGGTACTGATTGTGAGGTCTCCGATTTTGTTTTTGGACCTATCGATAGTCCCCACAAAATCCTGCCACTCTGTATACGAACTGAGGGTGAACGAGACCTTGCCAACCTTGACTTTCCATATCAACTCCTTGGCCATCTCCCCAGTCAGGATGACCTTATTCATCCCCTCTCGCATATCGCCAATGACGTTGCCGCACAAAACCTTGAAGTCATTCAGACTCTTACCTATGAGACAGGCACGTACAAATTTGCCTTTTCCGTTAGGAAGGTTGTTAGAATTGATAAGAGTAAAAGTCTTCTTTGGTTTAGACTTCGTCAATCCTCCGATGCGGACTTGTGGCTCGTCCGGCTCGTCCTCAAAAGCGATCTTGAACTCAACATTGATTTTGACCTCATGGGTTTTATCAAATTTCACTCGTGCTGGAGAACCGGGTTTGGGAAGCAAATTATCTCCAGCTTGGCGAGCTGGGGCATCTGGTCCATCGTGAATAAGTGGAGGGTCCTCAAAGACTAGTGAAGAGGTATGTTAGTGGAAGGCAAGGGAGAAAGTGGCTGAAAGATAGAAATATGCTCACGTGAATTCATCCAACCCTGTTCTTGATTCAAAGACATAATGGTTACGTTGATGGAAAGTATTCCAAATAGCTACAAATAGAGGAGTTGAGTCAGACACGAAGGATGATGATTGAAATGTTTTTGAGAGGTCTTGTGAGAAAAGATTCAACAAACAGTGATTGCTTGGAAGGTGCGGAGAGAGAAATCACGTCCAGAGGCGGATGGGAAAGGTGATTTGATGTCTCTCGAAGAGGGATATTGATCACCAGAACTTGAGGCAGGTACGTCCTCCCAGACACTTCGAGAAAGAGTGAAAAGGGGGATGGAATCAGACATTCCATCCCCAAGGGTTGTTTTGGGGTTCTCCTCCATGCATGAGCTTGACGAGAGCTTGTCTTATGGCAGATAGTGGGTGTGGTGTGACAGTCGAACGACCGGAAGAAGGCCTGCAAATGGCTGCAAATCCACTAGTGCCCGTTAAGATTGTAAGAGCATCTCCTATCGTCTCGGTAAAGGGCTTCGGTACGGTAAATTTTACTGTACCGACCCTTAAATTCCCCAATCGTGTCTAAAACACGATTCGGTATCCACCGAATCGGTCAAAATTCTGTAGAGGTCCAGCAAATTTACTGGACCTCTACCGATTCGGTATCTGCGGGGAAACCATTGTTCTCACCATTTGGTACTGTACCGAGGCACTTTCTTTCCAACGATAGTGGATTTCGACAGTTCTGTACCGATTGATACTGTACCGAACACCTACGTACAGAAAATTTACTAATCCACTAGTGCCCGTTAAGATTGTAACAGGCGCGGCGAACGCGCAAGATATGCTTAGTTAAGCTTAAGTGCGTAAAGTCTTTAAGCTGGGTTGTGCCACTTTTATCAAATTTTTCTGCTGCGGGGATCACTTTTCTCACAAAAAAATTGCAACCTTTCATGAAACGGCTGTACTCAGTATCACGCGGTTGAGCGGATTAAGGCCTGTGACACACAATTGATATTCAAATGCATGTAAGATATTTGAATTATTGTGAAATGGCCAGCATAGGCCAGCATCCCGCGGGCCGGCCAGAGATTTCTCTGACATTTATCATATTCTCATATGTAAACGCGACATACAAATCAAATCACGTGATTCGCTTTGACCACCTATGTATGTAGAGCGAAAAAAAAAACTTGAAAGAGCCCAAAGGAAAAAAAACCTTGTCGAACCTCCGCTTCATCACCTCAACCTTCACCAACATTTTCTCATTTAAGTTTTCAAACCACAAAATCTACATCATGTCATACCGCAATCTAACTCCTACTCTCAAATCTGTCTCACGAGCATGTTCACAACAATCTGCCAAAAGATCTTATTCTATCTTAACTAATCGAACTTCAAGGGCAGCTCCATCTATCCTTAAGGCTGGTTTGAATCAAGTTCAATCTCGTGGGATAAGAACTCTTGATTTTGCTGGTACCAAAGAAGTGGTTTATGAACGTGCAGATTGGCCTGCTTCTAAACTACAAGAATATTTCAAAGTTTGTATTCTTTCATGTCATTCGTCTTTTACATTTCTTTTGGCCAAAATCAAGTTGATTAATATTTTCTTTTTTATAGGATGATACTTTGGCTATGATTGGTTATGGATCACAAGGTCACGGTCAAGGTTTGAATGCCCGTGATAATGGTCTTAACGTCATCGTTGGTGTTCGAGAAGGCGGTAAGAGCTGGAAGATGGCCATGGAAGACGGTTGGGTAAGTCAATTTTCCCTACCACTTTGTCTTGCATTTCCAATCATAATTCGTTATATATTCTGATTTTATTCGAATTTGAAATCAGGTTCCCGGTAAGACCCTCTTCCCCATCAAAGAGGCTCTTCAAAAGGGTACCATCATCATGAACTTGCTCTCCGATGCTGCTCAATCACAAACATGGGACGAAATCAAACCATACCTTACCAAAGGCAAAACTTTATACTTCTCCCACGGTTTCTCTGTTGTTTACAAAGATGATACCGGTGTTGTCCCACCAAAAGATATCGATGTAATCCTTTGTGCTCCAAAAGGAAGTGGTGTAACTGTGCGAACACTTTTCAAAGAAGGACGTGGTATCAACGGTAGTATCGCTGTCTTCCAAGATGTGACTGGAAAGGCAAAGGAAAAAGCTATTGCTTTAGGTGTTGGTGTTGGAACTGGTTATCTTTATGAGACTACTTTTGAAAAGGAAGTTTACTCTGACCTTTATGGAGAACGTGGTGTTTTGATGGGTGGTATCCGTGAGTAGACTTCTTTCTCTTTCTATACTCAAAATCATTTTACTTACACTTTAGTCTTGAAAACAAATAACTGATGGGTTTTTACAGAGGGTATGTTTTTGGCTCAATACAAGGTTCTCAGAGAGAATGGACACTCTCCTTCAGAAGCCTTTAACGAGACTGTCGAAGAAGCCACCCAATCCCTCTTCCCCTTGATCGGAGCTCACGGTGAGTCACACCAACCCAATCTCTACAACCTTCTTCAAAACCACTAAACCATCTGTTATGTTTCAATAGGTATGGATTACATGTATGCAGCATGTTCGACCACTGCACGAAGAGGTGCACTTGATTGGGCACCTAAGTTTGAAGCAGCCAACAAACCTGTGTTTGAAGAATTATACCGATCAGTTCGAAATGGTGATGAAACTCGTCGATCATTAGATTTTAATGGACGTAAGACTTACAATGAAGATTTAGCTAAAGAACTTGCTGAGATTGATGCTCAAGAAATCTGGAGAGCTGGTCACACTGTCCGAGTGAGTTTCTTTTTCTGAGCGAAGTGTTATGGTTTGTTAAATAGCTTTTATTGAACTCATTTTTACTTGTTTCTACAGAAATTACGACCTGACAGTAAGACCAAAGCATAAATCATTAAATCATATACCGAAACTTGATCGCATTGCTTCTGTTGCAAGAATCTTTCCAAGAGATGAAGCAAAAAAGAACAAAATCATAATTGTGATGAAAATAAGATTGCGTTCAAAGTGATTTGTGATATGTGCCCTCAAAATTGATACAACGTCCGTTTTTTTGCTTGCATTGAACACTACATATATCTCTTTGTAGTTTTTTTCATCTATGTTTTTATGAGTGGTGATTTGCAGAAATTGAAGTATTGAAAATTTGATGACGAAATCAGAGTGAATGTTTATACGAAATCGACTTTGAAATGCCAGATCCTACATTCTCGAGAACCAGTGCTTGTATAGACAGTGCAGGCTCAGCTGAAATTCTCTTCAAGCGTATGTTTGTCCCAATTGCATTAATTACCATCTAACACATTCTCTGTGTCTATACAAGACCGTCGAGGGTTCACAGTTCAGAACTCTCGCCTATCAGAACCACAAACAGCACAGAACGACAAAATTGTCTTCAGATATTGAACACATCTTAAAAATCCAATCCCAATACAACAAACACAGTTACGTCTCCTTAAAAAAAGCCGAGGAGACATTCATTTCTACACCGATCTCCTTGAACCTTTGTCTCTATATGCCAAGCTACGGTGTACTTTGCCCAGTACCTTTAAAGTTCTGGTATGACTCCACTCTTCAAAAAAGGGGTTATTCCGACCTTTATGGAGGACATGCTGTTTTGATGGGCGGTATCCGTGCGTAAATCACATCACTCTCTTTTTGTTCTCGAAATAAACATGCCCACCTAGGTATCAACAACGTTGATAAATTTTCTTAAGACATAGAAAATCAAAGAGATTGGAACAAAAGAAGAAGATCATGATGTGAAGAGATGAGATGACGTTTACAGTGATTCATGGAACCTAAGAACCCATTCAATAATGTCTGTTTTATTCAATATTGCACACCTATACACCTTTGCAGTTTTTCATCTTTACTTGTTTTGTGAGCGGCGATTTTTTGAAAAATTGAAGTATGTTTGATGTCGAGTTTGAAGTGAATGTTCTCTTCTGAAAATAATTTTGAATTTTCCGATCCTACTCGAGGATTAGTTTTACTTGATTAGGAACTCAAGGCTTAGGATCTCGTTGCTACTGAGTAGGCCTGTTGAATCCTCCTGAGAGGTATGCAAGGTTTACCGATCAACTAACAAAATCTGTTTTATCTACACGCTCAAAGCTTGATTAAATGACCGATCGATCAAAAGTTTCTCGTAGAATATTGACAATGATCACGGTGATATATACTTTCTGAGTGTTTACATTGGAATAAGAAAAGGGATGAGGTATTCAAGAGATCAAGATCAAAAGGAGGTATACAAGATCGAGAATCGAGATGAGAAGTTTGAAATCATGAACCGAATCCATAATCATTAACTTGTTTACCATAATAACCAGTGCCAAGTAAACCAGTACCAGTAAGAATCTTAGGAACCGTAGCTTTTCTAAACCTACCCACACTAGAAGCCAAAAGGATCACAGAAGCAGCCGTAGCTACCAAAGAAGAATGTAATAACAAGATGTGAGAAAGACAACAAAAGTAAAACATTTTAAGAGAGGTTTACCAATTTCATGACCATAACGTTGACCAGATTGGATTCTATGACCACTTATTCCATAAATCGAACCGATCAAAATTCCTCCGATCAAAGATGGTATAGATCTTGTTTTAATAAACCCCATCGTACCTCCTACTGCACCTATATATAAAGTATCAAGAATTGTAAAAATCAGTGAAACCGATTTGATAAAATATCTTGATGGTAAGGGAAGAAATCAATTCATAGGTTTACGAAAAATAATACATATATTCATAATTATAGTACGAATAATTTCAAGGAGACTCACATAAAGCTGCTAATGAATAAGCAGGGTGCGCTGAACCTGTCATATTTTTCTTCGTTTTTCTCAAAAAGCTTTTTGGTATTTTTCCTTTGCCGTATCAGGAATCAGGATGACGAGAATTGGTTTTGTACACGTCAGACCGATGATGATGCATACCTCCGGGGCCACCTCCACGCACGGGTGACGGATCACCGAGTTAAAAACACGGGGCATATCTTTGGCTGCATTTCAAGTTGAGAGAGATTGTACTTTGGTTCTTGATCATCTTGTAATGACATATGATGTACGTGGGGACTGCAGTGAGGAAGACCTCTATGCAGTCCCAATTCCTAACATCACATATTCATGAAAGATACAATGTGAATATAAGAAATTGGATAGATATCAATCTTTGCATACAATCTTGGTGCTAAAGTTTGTCTTGTGATAGTTTGTTTTGCAATTTCAGGTGAAATTACATTGGAAACTGAAATAGGATTTTTTTGAATTATATATACGTGCAAAGTATTGATGATCATACACACAAGAAGAAACAAAAGTGATCAATCAAAAAAACAGTGAAGCTTCTTACCAATTGGGCTGGGAGCATGTATCATTAATAATTATTGGGGCAAACTAAACATAAACAATTGTTTTCAGCTAAGCATACTTTTGATCCATTGATAAGATGATGTTAGTTTACTGACACATGGCGGGCACAGTTGAAGGAGTGTACAGGCAGTTGTAAGCTTTTTCGCCGGAGTTGTGACAAACTGGAGATTTTCCATTGATATGTGGAGAAAAAATCTTGAATCAGTCACTTTATGAGGAACGGATGGTTCAAGGAGCCTCAGGCTAGTGACCTGTTTTTGGTCGGGATTCCAATCATATCTGACACGCTGTTGATTGCCAATACCTTTATCATTTCCGCGCAATTGACAAATCTTCATCGGACCCCACCTGCAACCTAAAATTCAAAGGCATATATCAGATGCTCGCGGATCAATTTACAGGTTCATGTTATGATTGGGGTATGAAGATCAGTAGCTGAAATAATTACCATTGAGAATGCATTCTGAAGATAGACATTGCCAAGTTATTGTCTTAGGCCATCTGTCACCGTTGACCTTGCAATCTTTCATTGTCAGCAGATGTCAGTAATCCCCAAACAGGACTGTGTTGGCAGCGGGTGTAGGTTATGCTAGAGTTATTCAAATAAAAGCACATACCTGCATAAAATTCTGAGGTATGTACAAACCCTAACTGGCAAGATAGGCACCACACCTTCGGGCTATGAATCCACAGTGAGAGAAGTAGAAGGTAAACCTTTGGGAAGACGTAGCTTGTTGCGCTTTTGAAAATGGTGCCGCAGTGAGGCAATCTGCCGGGCTCTCTCTGGGCTCATCCGATAGCCCTAATCCATACGCATCTTTGGATGTGCTCAAGACCCAAGTACTGATGCGTAGTGTAGAGCCCATAAGCTCAAATTCGGTCTACGTCAGGCACTTCTGAGTGTAGGCGTATTCCAGGGTCACCAACTACATCAAACTGTAAGCTTTTGACCCGGCGTGAGCAAGTAGGATGATTCTGTGATTCAGAATTCTCGCCTACCTGCATACACAACAATGAAAACCCAGAGCAAAAAAACTGTCTTCAAAAATTCAAAACATCTTGAAGATTCAGTTCATCAGCAAAGAAAATGCTTCCAAAAGAACGCCGAGGAGACACTAATTAGCGCTACATCCATTTACTTTAACCTTTGCCTCTATACTAAGTGAGAAGGTTTTCTTCAGCCAGCACATTCACAGATGTGATATGACCCTACAACCATCTTACGTTGTTCCAAAATTATAGTACTTTGTTCTACCCCCCGTAATTGAATCAATCCATCTGATACATCCAGGATTTCATCAAACATGTTTTCATTCTCAAAATCCTTTTTCACCACCTGTTTTTCACAGTGTGCAGACAACCTGCTCAGCATTCAGGCATGTTTTATCTTTCCTTTTGAAATTATCTGCTTTTCTTGTCCAAGTCCTTGTGTTTCAGTTATGCTGAATGCAGAATAATCAGATTGTTTTTGATGAGAGTCCCAAATTGAACATATGCAACACATATTCCGTCTGTGAACTGTTTCCTAGATACTTTGTCCTTGTAGTTCTTTTCTCCCACAAGCACCTCATCTTTTCCACCTTGCAACATATCAACATCTGTTGCACATCTCATCAATGTCAACCCAAACTAGGGTCAACTCGCCCAACCATTTTGTTTAGTCATCCATGCTGATTTACATCATTCATATACTAACAATGTGTATTTCTGCCGGCAAATTCATCCCGCACGCCTACCTTCAGTCACTTCCTTTTTTGGATATGTCTACTCTTTGTTTGAATGGCTCACATGGCCCATACAGTGAATCTGATCAACCCAAGTCTCAGTGTGATGCACTCCGATTTGAACTGCAGCAGTTTTGGCGGTGTAGACCACCATATTTTCACCTCTCCAGGGCACCAAGCTTTCAAAGGTAAGAAAGCCCCTGCAAGAATTGGGACTTGTGTCAAGTTAGATATCTTCAGTTCAGTTTGGTCAGCGTGAAACTGAATAAATTGAGGTGTCGTAAAAGGTTGTGAAACCTGATATTATTTGATTACACGGTACAATGGAATCCAATCTCTATGCAAGACCATCAAGGATATATTTTGCTTAGATGTTGAGTGAATTTAGAGGTTTACTACTAAAGACCAATCCTTGCACACAACCCAGCAAAAGTATCTGTCACAGTTAAACAGCTGACTGTACATAATTATTCTTGGCTTCAATGATTTTCCATATCTTGGAACAAATCTTTCCAAGCTTCTTTGTGGCATACATAAAGGGGTCATACTCGGCATCAGGTTCAGCCAGAGTCATATCTCGGGGTAATTCTCCCCGATTCTTCGAATTCCAACAAAGCTCGGATCACATAATCCGACTCATTTGATTTTTCGATCACGGCGAAGACAATCATCACGATTTGATGATCATGATATTTATGAAAGGTTATCTTTAGAGCCTAAGAGTTTAGTAGTAATCTATTACTGTGCTACTTTCATGAATAAAAGGATAATATAGGAGTAATCAAAGTCTATGTATCAGTTACTTTCAAAATCAAATTTTATAACCGATTCGTCTGTCTCCATAAGGTTAATCATAGTTGATGATGCTTTAACCAAGATATGGAACATCTTTAACAAACTTCGTGTGACTTATGCTTATCAGAATTTCATTATTACTTCAAATGAAACAATCCATCACAGGTTTGCATATTTATCAATGAACATTTTAATCTGTTTTTGATAGATGACGTATGTGAAAGTGATGAAGAGAGAATTCCGATGTGAAGTACATATGGATGTGTTGTTCTTTAAAGTTTTCATTCCCGCGGTTTGATTCAAATTTCTTATCAAAAAGCATTGGGGTTACAATTGATTTGTACATAAAAGTCGGATCGGCAGCATACTCGGTTCAAAGAATTGACATATAGGTTTTTGGTATCAAGAAAAGATCATGTATGCTATGAAGACTCCGAGAGTCAGAGCTTCTGATCAAGCAGGGGCTGAGCTGATCGACGGAGAAATGCCCGGTTTACAATATTGTTTTTGTTTGACAAAACCCCCTTGGGACATTTTTGATTCGGTATGTATGGCTCACATTGCTCGTTCCCCTATAAAAACCTCCACACTGGTTCCGACGGTTGAGATCAAAGTCTTTTACAAAAAATCAATGCAATGAACCAGATGGCAAAAGGCCTGGGTAGGAGGAGGATATAAATATGTACACATACATACAGACTTAGAAAACCGAATGGGGTAAACATACTACAGATTGATCGATCGATCTCAGATCAGGTACAAGTCATGTACAACGTCAGAGGTCAAGATGATCTGGTCTACGGCAGTTTGAGAGACTCCTCTGTAGATTTGGTATTGAGAATGAGATAAGGAGACGATGATGGTTTAAACTTGAAATGGTACATATAGTCAAGCTGCTAGAGTTGTTAATAGAAATTGTGTTGTATACTACCCCCAATCAATCCAACTTTTCCCCAAGAATTGGTTGGGGTTCATCCAACGATCGATCGGTCGGTCAGTCAATCTGATTTTATTACCATTACCATTTTTTGATTTGTTTTTGAAGTGAAATGTTCTGGAAGGATTTACCGTAAGATAAACTGATTACAACTTTACCTCTACAAAACACAAATTCTAGCGAAGATATCCTCAAATTTTTAAATTGAATTGAATTGAATTGTGAATTGAATTGGTAAGTCGAAGTTACATAACACTTTTAACTTGTGGATGATAACTATTCTGATGATTTTGATTTTGATTTTGATTTTGATTTCGATCACTTGATTCCAAACTTCAGTCTTGTTACCCTAATTCGTTCTGTTCTCTTTACCAGTCTCTTCAAGATTTCTTCAATTCGATTCTTAAATCATTTCTCAACCTTTCTAATCTGTCTTCTAAATATTCTTATTCAACTCTTACCACTAAGAAATTTATACTCACGCACTAAGACTGATACAAGTCTCATCATGTCACCTCCTCCACCTCCTCCATTACCTTCTTCCTCATCTCTCGATTTGGGTGATTTCATTCCTGATCATTCAAAAGTTAAAGACTTTATTGGTATTTCAATTTCGTTTCAAACCTTTTTCTTTCCCTTCATCTTTCTTTCAGATTGACTTACATTGACTTGTTGGTATTTGGTTTGAATAGGTGGCAATCCACTCGAACTTGCTGCTCCTGGTCCAGTTTCGGATTTTGTGAGACGTAAAGGAGGTCACAGTGTGATCACAAAAGTAAGTGTTTTCGATCCCAAAACTAACCTCATCATTTTCAATCAAAAATCACTGATGTCTCACATTTTCGTTTTCATTTTTTTTAGATCTTGATTGCCAACAATGGTATAGCAGCAGTCAAAGAAATCAGATCCGTAAGAAAATGGGCATACGAAACTCTGGGTCATGAAAGAGCCATTGAATTTGTGGTGATGGCCACTCCTGAAGATTTAAAAGTTAACGCTGATTATATTCGAATGGCCGATCGTTATGTTGAAGTACCGGGTGGTTCGAATAATAATAATTATGCTAATGTGGATGTTATTGTAGATGTGGCTGAACGTGCTGGCGTTCATGCCGTTTGGGCTGGATGGTTCGTGGTTTCTTTGACCTTTCTCTTTTCTTGATTTCTTTTTTTTTCTTTGTCAGAGTGAGGATATTTTTCATCTTTCCTCTAAACTGTGTTTCCTCCGGAGTCACAATTCGATAAGAATGGGGAAATGATCTGCAGTATGTAGATTCGATGAGGTTTGAATATCTTCCATGAGACTTGCTTTTTGGGTCGCTCTTCATCTTGGCTGTGTATCATATTTCACAGCGTGCTCTGATTTTTTGCGGACCATTTGGTTCATGAATCCTTCAAATTGACCTGTTTTTTATCCCTATGTCACAAGTATCAATTTCCTGTGTTTATTTCAATTTCCCTGGGTCTCCACCAGAACATTCCTTATCATATTTTGTTCTGGCTTATTAACCCTTGAGCTTCTCCTCTCAGTTTCAACTTGTTGCTCTCAAAATGCGACTTTTCAGTATACTGACCCATTTCTCTTATTTTGCTGATCTACAGGGGTCATGCATCCGAAAACCCACGTCTCCCAGATTCCTTGGCTGCCTCCAAGCAAAAAATCATCTTCATCGGTCCACCAGGATCAGCCATGAGATCTTTGGGTGATAAAATCTCTTCCACGATTGTGGCCCAATCCGCCCAAGTCCCTACGATGCCATGGTCCGGTTCTTCTCTATCCCAAACCGAACTTTCACCACAAGGTTTCTTATCAGTAGCTGATGAGATCTATCATCAAGCTTGTGTAACCGATGTTGAAGGTGGTTTGGTCAAAGCTGAAGAGATTGGTTATCCGGTGATGATCAAAGCATCAGAAGGAGGTGGAGGTAAAGGTATTCGAAAAGTCGAATCTGCTAAAGATTTCGGTCAAGCCTTTAATGCAGTCATTGGAGAAGTACCTGGTTCACCTGTCTTTATTATGAAATTGGCTGGTGCTGCTCGTCATTTGGAAGTCCAAGTCTTGGCAGATCAATATGGAAATGCGATTAGTTTGTTCGGTAGAGATTGTTCAGTTCAACGTCGTCATCAGAAAATTATCGAGGAGGCTCCGGTAACTATCGCTCCTAGTGATACTTTTGAACAAATGGAGAAGGCAGCAGTTCGACTGGCCAAGTTGGTTGGATATGTCTCTGCTGGAACTACAGAGTTCCTTTACGAGGCCTCCACCGATAACTTCTACTTTCTTGAACTTAATCCCCGTTTACAAGTCAGTTTCTTTTGTTTTCGACCATATCATGCCTTTCAGAGAATTTACGACTTTTCCACAAAATGATAGGTCGAGCATCCCACCACCGAGATGGTCTCAGGCGTGAATCTACCGGCCGCCCAACTCCAAATCGCTATGGGTATCCCATTACACCAGATCAGGGATATCCGTACCTTATACGGGAAAAACCCACACGGAACCTCTTCCATCGACTTTGAGTTCAACTTACCACACTCTTCAGAAACTCAACGTAAACCGATGCCCAAGGGACATGTTGTAGCTGTCCGAATTACCGCCGAAAACCCCGATCAAGGTTTCAAACCTTCCTCTGGAACTCTTCAAGAACTTAACTTTAGGTCCAATACGAATGTTTGGGGATATTTCTCGGTCGGAACTGCTGGTGGACTTCACGAGTTCGCTGATTCTCAAGTTGAGTCGGTTTGGAATACCTCTGCCTCGAAAAATGATAACTAATTTTTTGAACTTGTTTATTCGAAAAGTTTGGTCACATCTTTGCATATGGTGCTGATCGAAGTGAGAGTCGAAAAGCAATGGTTGTAGCTCTCAAAGAGCTTTCCATTCGTGGTGATTTCCGTACCACAGTCGAATACCTCATCAAGTCAGTCTCGTCTTCGTTATCCTCCAGTTCGATGCCCTCAACTGATTCTCACTTTGCTTTTCGAATGGATTAACTTCACTAGGCTTCTAGAGACTGAAGCCTTTGAATCGAATACCATCACAACAGCTTGGCTAGACAGCTTGATCTCATCCAACATGACAGCCGAAAGGCCCGACAGTACTTTAGCTGTAATCTGCGGTGCTGTCACAAAGGCACACTTACAGGCTGTAGCTGCCTCAGAAGAATACAAGCGTGTTCTTGAAAAAGGTCAAGTACCTGACAAAAATTTATTGAAGACCGCTTTCAGTTTGGAATTCATCTATGAAAACGTCAAGTATCTCGTCCTCGCCACTCGATCGGCTGTTGGACTCTACACGCTCTTCTGTAATGGTGGAAAAGTTAGTGTTGGACTTAGAACTTTGGCCGATGGTGGGCTTTTGGTTTTGTTGGATGGAAGATCTCATACTGTGTATTGGAGAGAAGAAGTAGGGTAAGTATTCCGTTTGGATCTTATTACTCCATCCCACAACGCTCATTGATTGAATTCCACACTCCTACACTGATAGCGCGCTTCGACTCATGGTCAATTCAAAAACATGCCTCATTGAACAAGAGAATGATCCCACTCAACTTAGGAGTCCCAGTCCTGGAAAGCTGGTCCGGTTCTTAGTAGAGAGTGGAGAGCATGTTAAGGCTGGTCAAGCATACGCCGAAATTGAAGTGTTAGTTCTATTGATTCACTTTATCATCTTATGCATGAAGGCTGATGCATCTTATCGTTCATGTCGATAGGATGAAGATGTATATGCCACTTGTAGCTTCTGAAGATGGAGTACCGCAATTCGTCAAGCAACCTGGAGTGACTCTCGAACCCGGAGACATTCTCGGAGTTCTAACGCTAGACGACCCAAGTCGAGTGAAACATGCCCAGCCCTTTGCTGGTCAATTGCCCGCCATGGGAGTGCCTAGTATCATCGGTTCCAAACCCCATCAGCAATTCATCAGTCTCTCTAAGATCCTCTATGATATACTTGATGGATACGATAATTCTTCGGTGATGCAAAGTACTCTGAAAGATCTTAGTGTGGTCTTGTCAGATCCTGAGTTGCCATATGGTAAAGCTTTGGCGATCCTTTCAACTCTTTCGGGTCGTATGCCAGCCAAACTCGAAGCATCTATCCGTACCACCCTTGAAGGTGCTCATGCCAAGGGATTCGAGTTTCCTTCCAGTCGATTACGCAAAGCGATTGATGCCTTCCTCGACAATGGACTCAGACCTCAAGAGCGTCAAGCCATCAATTTAACTCTTGCTCCCCTCGAAGATGTCATTCATCGATTCAAGGGCGGTCTCAAATCGCATGCTTATCTCTGTTTATCCGAACTCATGGAAGCATATTCGGCCGTCGAATCAATTTTCAACTCGGGCCAAGAGGACGACGTCATTTTACAATTACGAGACCAGAACCGGGATTCGTTAGATGAGGTCGTTCGCATCGTTTTATCTCACTCTAAAGCCAATTCCAAGAATCAATTAATCCTAGCGGTGTTGGACTTAGTCAGCCGAACGGCTTCTCAAGCTGCAGTTGAGACCACGTTCCATGAAAGCTTGAGCAAATTGGCAGCGTTGGACTCAAAGGCTGCTACTAAGGTTGCTCTGAAAGCTAAAGAAGTCTTGATCCATTGTCAATTACCATCATTAGAAGAACGACATGGACAAATGGAAGCCATTCTCAAGGCTGCTGTTCAACAAACTCATTACGGAGAAGCAAATCATGGTCAACGACAACCTTCGTATGAGAGTATCAGAGAACTTGTCGATTCCAAGTACACTGTTTTTGACGTTCTTCCTGACTTTTATGACAACTCGGATCCTTGGGTGGCTCTCGCGGCATTGGAAACTTACATTCGAAGAGCTTATCGATCTTACTCGATCATCAATTTCGATTACGAAGAGGGTGACGCTAGTGAAGATGAACCTACTTTGGTATCTTGGTTGTTCAGGATTGGCAAAGGAGACTCGCCTCCAGCTACACCTCGTCGAGGTCCGACTGGACGAGTGGCCTCATTCTCGGATCTAACTTACGTTGTCAATCGTGTGCAAGACGAACCAATGCGACATGGAGCAATGTTTATGATCAAGAACCTAGAGGATCTTGATCGTTATATGCCTAACGTATTACTCAAGTACCCAGATGTCAAACCATCAATGCTATCCTCTGAACCCAGCAGTGCTGCTCAACACAACGTGATGAAGATTGCTTACCGACTAGATGACTTGCAAGCTGATCAATCAGATTCAGAATGGCATGAGAAATTTCAAAACGTTTGCACTAAATTTGATACAGGATTAAGTAGAAGAGGAATTGTGAGGGTGACGTTCAAGATTTGTAGAAAGGGACAATACCCTTCATATTTCACTATGAGGAAAAATTATGAAACAAAAGTTTGGGAAGAAGTGGTAGCTATTCGAGATATCGAACCAGCTTTGGCTTTCCAACTTGAACTTCAAAGACTTTCTAACTTCAATCTTACTCCTTGTCCAACTGAAAATCGACAAATTCATATTTATTATGCTGAGGGCAAAGAAAATTCTGCGGACTCTAGATTCTTTGTCAGGACTATGTACGTAATTTGTCTTTCATCTTCAATGGTGTTTCTGTTTGGTAAAGCTGATCCGGACTTTTTTGGGTTCCTCTCATTAGTGTTCGTCCAGGTCGAATCAAAGGCAGCATTAAGGTTGCCGATTACTTGGTGACTGAGGCAGAACGTTTGTTGAATGACGCCTTGAACGCATTGGAGGTTGTTTCTGCTTCTCATCGTGGAGTAGACGTCAACCATGTTTCTTTGAACTTTGTCTATGGGATCCCAATTGGCTTTGAGGAGCTACAAACCGCCCTTGCTGGATTCTTGGATCGACATGTGAGTATCGCTAATTTACGAATGGTTTGATCTTTTCGTTTTTGATCACAACCTGATGAACATTTTATCATGATCCGTAGGGCAAGAGGCTGTGGCGATTGAGAGTTACCGCAGCTGAAGTTAGATTAGTGATTGAAGATGAGAATGGAGGACCACAAGCCATCCGGGTGATAATCGACAACTTGTCTGGATTCATTGTCAAACTAGAAGCTTATTCCGAAGTAACATTGGAGAACGGAAAGGTAGTCTTGAAGTCGATTGGTCCTACCATTGGAGCTTACCATCTACAACCTGTCAACTTTCCTTATCCAACCAAGGAATGGCTCCAACCTAAACGTTACAAAGCTCATGTGGTTGGAACAACGTATTGTTATGATTTCCCTGATCTCTTCCGACAAGCTGCTAGAAGAGAATGGAAACGAAAATCAGCAGAGATTCCGTTCTTACGTCCTCCTACCGATCCACTTACTGCTACTGAACTTGTCTTGGATGAATATGGTCATCCTCAAGAGATTAGTAGACCAGCTGGAAGGAATACGATTGGAATGGTAGCTTGGATGTTTGTGATCAAGACACCTCAGTTTCCTAATGGACGTCGAATGATTGTGATTGCAAATGATATCACATACAAGATTGGAAGTTTCGGACCTGAGGAAGATGATTTCTTTTTCCGAGTGACTGAATTGGCTCGAAAGCTTGGAATCCCTCGAATCTATCTATCTGCTAACTCTGGAGCTCGATTGGGTATTGCAGATGAAGTGACTGATCTATTCAGTGCAGCTTGGAACGAGGCTGATCATCCTGAGAAAGGCTTCAAGTTCTTGTATTTGACTTCTGAAGCTATGTCTCGATTGAAGGAGAAAGGCGGTGAAAGTGTGATGACTGAAGAAGTTGAACATGAAGGACAAATGGTTCATAAGATTCAAGCTATTATTGGACTTCAAGATGGTCTCGGTGTGGAATCTTTACGTGGTTCAGGATTGATCGCTGGTGGAACTTCAAGGGCCTATAACGATATTTTCACTATTACTCTCGTCACTGCCCGATCAGTCGGAATTGGAGCTTACTTAGTACGACTCGGTCAACGTGCTGTACAAGTCGAAGGACAACCTATCATCTTGACTGGTGCAAGTGCCTTGAACAAGGTCTTGGGACGTGAAGTGTATTCTTCAAACTTGCAACTCGGTGGCACACAAATCATGTACAAGAATGGAGTATCCCACTTGACTGCACAAAACGATTTAGATGGAGTTTCTGAAATTATGGATTGGTTGTCTTATTTACCTGAATGTCGAGGTGGATCAATTCCAATGACACCTTCAATTGATAGTTGGGATCGACCGATTGAATATCTACCTATTAAAGGTGCTTATGATCCTCGTTGGTTCTTGGCTGGTAAAGAAGAGTATGAAGAAGATTGTGATAGTGGTGCTGGAAGTGCCACGAGTGGGCCTGGACGTCAACCACAGATTCAATTGAATGGAAATGGCACTTCTAGGTTCTTGAGTGGATTCTTTGATCGAGGATCATTCCAAGAAACTTTATCTGGTTGGGCGCAGACTGTGGTAAGTATTAGCTCATGTCGACTTTCCCCTCTCAACTAATTCTTAATCTCACTCTTTCCCTTTTTTTCTGTAGGTGGTTGGAAGAGCCAGATTAGGAGGAATTCCAATGGGTTGTATTGCAGTAGAAACTCGTACGATTGAAAGAGTCATCCCAGCTGATCCAGCCAATCCATCATCAGGAGAACAAAAGATTATGGAAGCAGGGCAAGTTTGGTATCCTAATTCAGCGCATAAAACTGCACAAGCTATTGATGATTTCAATCGAGAACAATTGCCATTGATTATCTTTGCTAATTGGAGAGGTTTCTCGGGTGGTCAGCAAGATATGTTTGATGAAGTTCTTAAACGGTTGGTGTTTACACGTTTTTAGTTTCAGCTTTTCAGCTTTAGATGTTGATTTTATGTTTCGTATATTATAGGGGTTCTTTGATTGTTGATGGGCTTTCAAACTACAAGCAACCTGCTTTTGTTTATATCATTCCGAATGGAGAATTGAGAGGTGGAGCTTGGGTAGTGTTGGATCCAGCCATCAATGAGAATGGAATGATGGAGATGTAAGTCAGGATTTGTGTAAAAATATTTTTTATCTTTTATAATCTGATGCTGATCTACATTTTAATCAAACACATTTAGGTACGCTGATAAAACATCAAGAGCAGGAGTCTTGGAGCCAGAAGGTATTGTAGAGATCAAATTCAGGAAGGCCAAGGTCTTAAGCATGATGAATCGATTAGACAGTCGATATGCTGAATTAACTACTGGCGCTGGAGCACCTGGAGATCAAGCAAGTGAAAAGAAGAATGAACTAGCAGCCAGAGAGAAGTTATTGGCACCTACCTTCAATTCAATTGCATTACAATTTGCAGATTTACATGATCGAGCCGAAAGGATGAAAGCTAAGGGAACGATTAGAGAAGCACTAGATTGGAGTGAATCTAGGCGATACTTTTATTGGAGATTGAGAAGAAGATTATTAGAAGAAGAAGCCATGAAGGTGATTGAAAAGATGGCAGGTGAAGGTTTAGATCGAGAAGGTCGAATGGCATTCTTGAATGAACGACTTGAGATTGATCTTGAAAGTGTAACGGATCGTGAAGTAGTACATAAATTAGAAGATTTGAAATCTCAAAATGGATGGGAAAAGATGAAAGGATTAGAAAGTTTGAAGGATGAAGCATGTGTGAAAAGCTTGAGTGAGATTTGTGGGAAGGCTTCTATTTCTAGTTTGATTAATGGATTAAAGAATGGATTAGGTGAAAGATTGAATGCAGAAGAATTAGCTGTAAGTTTTTTTTTCTAGTGCGTTGATTCAAGTTTTTTTGTGGTTTACTCATTCAGATTTGATTTTTTTGTAGGTTTTGGAACGTGTTTTGAAAAAGTAAAGTTGAAAAAGATTTATAAACAGAAGTCAAGACGCGATATATATATATATATAATTCTTTTTTGAGTAAAGGGTTTTTTCCTATTTTTTTTATTTATTTTTCTACTTTTTTTTTAAAAAATTAAAAGAAATTACGCAATTGTAGTACAATGTGAAGAGTTTTTTTTTTTGAAAGATTTTTGCAAATTATTAAATACAATCTTAAATATATATATCAATTTTTTTATATTCCTTGAAACGTGTTTGAGATTTCTTTATCTGTTCTGTTTGAGTTGAGAGATCATTAGGATGAAGGTTGACTTTATGGTCTGTGAGGTAAGTGTTGGAGTAAGGAAGTGAGCATGCTCAGTTTGCTATATGTGAGTATATCATCATGAGTGAAAGTATCAGCTTGTTGATTCTTTTGCAGCATTGATTTAATACAGAAAACAAAGTACAATGCAGCTACCAAGAAAAATAGTGAATTAGAAACTATATGATCCATCAAATTATTTTGTTCAAGAAAATGTGTTCATAACGTTCTTTGAGGATACCAAAGATCAGGAAAGTGGAATGAAAGATCAATTGCTTGGGTTAAGTTTGCAATGTAACCCATATTAGGGCTATGATCTGGTCTAGAGCTAAGATCAACTGGGGAGAGGTCAGGATTCCAGCAGGGATAAGTCAGGCAAGCTCTGGTACTGGCTTGACTAGTTGAGAGCCTGGTCAAGAGCTTGCAAGCGATTTTTATTGTAGATAATACTCATCTCATCATTTGTGTATATTATTGTATCCATATCAATGATATGTAATAGGTAGCTCAACATGTTTTTACACTTCATCAAGGGAAGGGGTGGTTGTTGCAGCTCTGCTTGGCCTTGGGGCAACACAGGTCAGGGCTTTGGCCACAACCCAGCCATGACTTTGCCCAGAAAACCTTTAGGCATACTTGGCTGGTTGGGGTCAGACTGAATCCCTAAACCACATACCTTCAGTAATCATCAGGGCATTGTTTACAATGAAAGTTCACCTGTGCCCTAAAAGGGATTGCTCAGTTGATCTGAACAGCAGTTCAATTTTGTGTTTTTTCAACCCCTTGAAAGAGACCTATGGGTTTATACAGTATTATCCAGGGATAGAGGCCACAGCCACAGGTCTGAAGGATCAGTTTATTCAGTACTGATCTGGAGAATATATGGGTTTATCTTGACTGGCAAATAGAATTTTGAAAATGGTATTGTTACTGCTGGTCAACATCTTGGGCCAGGGCCCGGGTCATGTTAGATCAGGCTTTGGTTGAAATTATGGTGTGAGACACCCAAGATAAAGAGAATCCTAATCAAGCTATGAACTCCAATATAGAAGCTCTCACTCCTCAATCATCAACATTGAGGAGCTAAGGCTACTTTTGAGATGCCCTCATCAAGAGCATCAAGCAAATCTTTTGGATGATTGGACAACTTTCTTGTTTTTTCTATTTGATTAAAATTGAACTCCACATGTGATCTAAAGCTCTACTTGTAAAGTTATTGAGCCTTTGCCTATCTTCAGTATTGTACACCATTGACATCACTGAATGTATGTGAAGATGAATTTTATTTCTTGGCAAGGTGCAGTGTGGTGCCTTCTGTAATTGAATAGTTGTTCTGTTTCCTGAAGTATTCTCCTGAGATTAGTCACAGGTGGTATATAGGGTTAAGATATGAGATCTAGATTCTGATCCCCAAGGTATTGTTTGAAACATGTCATGGAATGTGTTGGATTGAGTTTACACAAGATCATGGCAGTAGATCTCAAGGTATGAGGATTTTGAGCACCAACATTGATCTTCAACCCAAGATACTGATGATCTCCAGTATAAAATCAAAAAACACCATGAAGAATCTTTATCTGATAATTTTACAAATTTATATCTGTCATCACAGAACTTTGGTTATCTCTGGACCCCTTGAGGTTTCATCCCACTCACCAATTTCAGGTGATGACATTGCACAATCTGCTACAACAACTCTGGAGTACTTCAGAACAGAAGCTCCCATCAATCTCAAATCCATTGGAACCCCAGAGACCCATAGTCTCAAGATATCTGAGGGATTGACTGGAAGTAAATTCCCAAACCTGATTCCAATACTGCCTATGGACCTGGAAAAAGACTAACTATCTCACCACACAACCCACAGGTAGAAACAGCAAGGAAACCCAGGTCCCCATGGATCAATCATTCAGACAGAAAGGAAAAGAAATACAGCAAGATAAATGGAACACCATGGATATGAGATATCAGGAGATATTCAAAAAAGGTCCAGGAAGCCATTCAAATGATCAAGAGATTGTATTATTTGGGAAAAGAATCAAGGTTAACCCTGGCAAAACAATTAACATCAGAGACTTTGCTAGTCACAAGATGAACAGAATCTGTATGGTGTATGCTAGGTATCTAGTTGAAGAGTTTACATCTTTAATGATAGTTAGATTGTGTGGTGCAACAGGTTTACAGCCTCAATCAACTTCATTGAAACAATATGATAATTTGCTCTTTGCACCATTTGTGTACTTTATTCTGTTGAGGGACCCAAAAAAGGCTGTATGGGATCGTCTGGTAGCCATCACCTCTCTCATCATGGTGGGATTTCATCAACGAGAATCTATTTCAGGAGAAATTTTCAGCACCAAAAAGCTCCAACAATTTATGCTATGGCATACAGAAATGATGTATCATCTCACCAACCCCAAGTTACTGGATTATGTCAATGAGCAGGAAATTATGTGCAAACAAAGTTCAAATACTGGAATGAACAGAGGAAGATTTCCCCTTTCTATTATATTATCTGTACTATCAAATCAAGCATCTTTTAAGAGGCTCTTCAAACAAGCATTAAGGCACCAATATAATCTGGCAGCTTCTTATCTTCAGAACTTTTGGTATAGGGACTATCAAAATCATTATCCGGGATCAGAAAAATCAGACATTCCAAAGATATCAGTTGAACAAGAGTGGAACAGAATATCCAAATCCATTCTTGAATCCTGTCAATTAAACAACAGATCAGATTTCTTTTCAGCTCTGAAAGAATTGAATTCTGATGAGCCAATGATAGGTGAAGATGCTATGATGTTACCATTAAAGAATATTAAAGGACCAAAGGACTTCAATAATGATTTATCTGAGATCAAACTAAATCAAGAAAATCTTAGGACAGATTTGGTCAAAATAAAAGAATCTAACATCTTACAAGGTCTGAAGGTATGGATGGAAATGCATGAAAGGCAAGAAATAGGGTTTTCTGATCCATTTTGTGTAACAGCTGTCTTTGATTTTCTTGGATCTAAGAGACCAAGTATAGATGTGAATGTGTTCTGGAAACACATGGAAGGATATGAAAAAAGTAAGAAAGTTGTCCGTAAAAATGCAAAACATCATTACCAAAAAGTTGTAAGGGATAAACAAAAATGAAAGATGTACAATTGCTTTAAGCTAAATATAAGGATCTCTGAATAAGTATCATAGGTAAAAAGAACCAAACACTTCTTCCTGTAACATTTGTTGAACTTTTGTGTCTTGTTTGTTCACCATTTTTCATCTCCCTCATCCTGTTGCAATATCTGCTTGATAGCCATCCACAGCTCTTAGCACTTGGTCTTGGACTTGAGAATTTTAAGTTGAAGAAATAGAATTTTGATGGAGTGGTCTGATTATGTTCCCTGTATGATCACTCTCTTGAGATATATACACTGTATTTGACCAAATTATGTGTCTATGACCCTGTATTTTGTTGCAAAAATACACAACCATCAATGGGAAAGTTTGGAAGTGATGATTACAGATGAATATATATGGTAGCTAGTATGTAAACAGCACTACATAAGACAATCTTTTAAATGGTAACTCATATGTTAAGTACTTGTTGCTTTGAGTAGCCAGTAAATGTCACAGCCAAAGAATTCTCTGGATTGTCAAGTCCAAGGTTTACTTTGGCAATTTGCTTAGGCATAGCCTCTGAGTCATTGATTCAAAGCTGTTTGCAAGCCGAAAAAACCCTGTGCTAATTTCTGGGGATATGCATTCCAAGAGAATTCATGATCAATGACAGCAGGTCACTGCTCACAGCCATCTCCCTCTGGTGATTAGGGCCATTTATGCTGAAATTTTCAAAAAATTGATACAGTGATATTTTTTTTTAGCGCAGTGATAGTGAGGCCAAATCCCATATCAATATCAAATATGCTTCTTATTGAACACAATTTGCTATGACCCAGCATCTTTCCTCAATAGATAAACCAATATGCCACAGGTGCATTCTCTTCTTGACGGTTTTTATACCCACTGTTCAGGCATTTTTGGTTTGCAATGATCTGCGGGATGTATGGATTACTTTGCAATTTTTGCCACACAATTTTTTAATCTAATGACTATGTTGCTTAATTGAACTTAATGCAATGATCCATTTGATAAGGTGGATTGATCTGTGGCTCAAAATTGATTGGTGAGCTGTCTTTTTGACTTTTTGGATTGGGTGTTGGCAAGTTTAATTTTTTCTTACATGCATGCTATAATGATTGAGTGGGAGATCATATCATCCCAAGTGATTAATCCATGCTTTTGTCTGCTATCAACCAAATATGCCAAATTTGGTTTGCCATGGACAGCGGTTCCCATCACTAAAATGCTGGTATCACCAAATGAGGAACCCTTACACAGCCCTGTTTTGTGTACCATTGAGATATCTTGATCCAAATAACTTTAAAGATAGGTGTAATGAAACCATGACAGCACGGCCTTACATGACAAGCTTGTGTATCACTTTGCTGCTTTGAACAGATTGTATTTCATGTGATAATCCTTATCTAATATCAGCTGTTGGAACAGTACCCTGTTATTCTGTCAAGATCTCACACAGGGGCACCTTAAATCACCATCTTTTGTGTGTAATTGAGCAATCATGATCTATACAGCTTTGGGGATTAATGTATCAAACATTTGCCAGTATCAAAAAATTTGCCACATATCTTGGCAGGGTGTTCTAACTTGTTTAGCTTGCTATGTATCACTTTTTTTCTTTTGATATATTATATGACATGTGGAAAATGACATCTCATTGAATTTGTTGAAACAGCACACCAAGAAACAATTAAAGTGTCAAAGGAGAAATTTGAGAAGAAAGGTTTGAAGAGGAAGCTTGGTGAAGGGTAATAATGTAAAGGAGCCTTCTGCCAAAAAATGACAAAAACCATTTTGCTTGACTTGTTTTCCATTTGATATCTCATAAATAATTTGGTACATAGCTTAGCTTGGGATTTACTCAATATGATGAAGAGATCATTCTGGATTTTGATCCACCTGTCAATGGTTCTTGCCAATATGGATACAAGATTGATCAACCTCCCTGATACTTTGAATGAAGGTGAGTTCTGAGATGAACTTAGAAATCGCATGTGTTTCAGGCTTACTGTGTAATTCAGCAATATCAACACTAGAAACCCAGGGTGCAGTTGCCATTTTTCAGGCAGTTGTCATAGATGGTCAACAAAATTATCTTGAAAATATGAGGGGTATGATTGCTCCACAGGCAAATATTGTGTACAACAATGACTCAATTGATACTGCAGGTATGTTTTTCCAATTTCAAGACAACCGATAAGCTTTGAAGTTCCACTTTCCATGGTGGACTTGTGACAGCTAATAACATACATATTTAATTTTTGGACCATCAATACACAATGATTAGGTTTTATTGAACATGCATCCCAAGGCCATTACAAACCCACATATGTGGATGAATTGACAAAAGGTAAGCCAAAAAATAATACTTAGGATAGATCAAAATCTTCAAGAGGAATTTGATATCATTTATTTTGACATAGATTCAAGAAACATTGGAGAAAGTAACCTTTTGGTCAGTTGGACAAGTGATGGATATAATTTACACATGGAATACAACAGGTCAACAAACCAAATTGACCTTGTGTATCTAACCAAAAAGTGAGGGTTTTTTGTCCATATACTTGTATAGACTGTTTCACATGATTTCTGACAACCTGAATTTCCAAAATCCATTAATTCAGTTGATTGAAGGCCTGACCTCATGTATTCTATACAAATTGCATAGAAATCCACATAAGTGCAACATGACACAGTAAAATTTTGGACTTGTATGTTTTTTTCATAAGTAGTACTACAGGCATGGTCTGTTGAACAAAATGTAGGGTGAAACAAAAGATATAATCTAAAATACTTGCAGTTCCTACAACCATACCTTTTTATTGTTGTCTTTAAGATTATTGATAAAGTGTAGTTCTAAATTGGATTTTTTCTCCATGACACATGTCATCTAATCTTGAACGGAAATAAAGGAGGTCAACTTGATGATGTATGTGGCAGAGCCACTTGGCTGACCCAATACCTGTGTGTTAATTACAGTTTAGGTGCACTGAGTTGGTGTTGGGCACAGGTCATTATATCTCAACACTCAGCTGAGCTTCCACTCCAGATGGAAACAAGATGTGATTTTCATTGTACACTTCTCCAGTCCACTTCCCAGCTGACAATCAAACAAAGCCTTGATATTTTCAAAGCTGGCTGTTGTCTTTTATTTTTACTTTGAGAACATCTTCATATTCACCAATTTTACTTCTCACCCCACCCTCACTAGAAACTTTGAACAGCATAACAGTATACAATCTTTCATTCCACATGTGTTCATCCAAAAAACCAATACAATGGATGGTTCTTTCCCCCAGATTTCTTTTGGGATTTAGGGTCAGATGATTCCTGTGCTCAAAAGGCCTCTTTGCAGGCAGAAATTGAAATATCTAAATTCTCAAGACAGGTGCAAATTGGGTTCAGATGCCAAAATATACACTGAAGCAAAGACACACACAGAAGCATAAAAGATGCTTACAAGCTTTGTGTTGGTGCAGTAATCAAACCACAAAATGGGAATTTTTTTGAAGTAATCAACAACATGGCTAGAGGCCTAGCATATGTCACAACTATGACAGACTAGCCCCAGCCCACATCTGTTCCAGGGGTAGGCGTAATTTTGGAAAGGTATAAATAGCATGCTTGCGGATAAACTTGTTTAACTGAAGCGCAGCCTCTTATGCAAACAAATGACAAATTCTCAAAAAGCCTCTCAAAAAATGCCTATTGAGGCTATCCACAGATTCCTGATACGACAGATGCTTGGACCAAGGGAATTTGAATCCTAGAGGTACATATACTCCTTTATTTCCTGTCTCTCATCTTCTTTATCAATATTTTTATCATTTCTTTCCCTGTGATCTCTGGATAATGGCCCGTTTGGTAACAATGAACAAAATTGAGCTGATACTAGATTGTTTATTGCTCAAGAAACCCTCAAATCTTTATCTTGACCCTCTTACTCAACTTTGTGTATCAGAGCAGTTTCATTTTAGTGATCCTTTGTTGAAGATCATATCAGTCATCCCAATCAAAGCCAAACAACTGATTCTTGTGTATGTCTGTCGCGCTCATGCTGGAGCATCAAACGCGCGGCGCTCAAGATCTGACTATGTATCTGTTGCCTCAGCTCCAGGTCTCTAGTACTTCTTCCATATCCTTGTTCATGGTTATTACCCAGAAGCTGAACTCGTGCCATCACATGAGAGAGTATGATACGCGTGGCATTTATTTACACAGGAAGAAATGCGAATAGTCGCGTCACTGTAGGCCATTGTTAAGTCCCAAGACATACTTTATGAAATTGGATGGTGACTTAAACTTAGAATTAATTTCACGCCTCACGAGTCATCAGTATTCAAAAAGTTCATGAAATACAAGATAAAGTTAGCCAATCAATTCCTCAGCATCTCAAGTCATATCCCTGATCAACAAAGCAATCACCACATCAGGTATGTACAACATCATCACCCTAGGGATATGGAGATCGTGGATATGATATCTTGATATGTATGATTTGCCGTGTAAATAAGTCATCAAAGGTTTTACATAAAGTTACTGATATGATTCTCATTTGAGCTCGAAGAAACAAGTGAAACAGTGCAAGATATAAAATCCCATATCTATCAGACTTCTCTCGCCTCATTTCAACCAGGAAGACCATCAATTTTTCAAGTTTGATTTTACATCATGAGTACAACTTCAGATTTAACTTCACAAGCTGATACACCTGAACTATTATCGATTGATCTTGATTCCTTTAACCTCGAACCATTTGAATTACCCAATGATTTCTTAAACCAATTACCTCCTAATCTATTTCAATTAAGTTCTAGTTCTTTAACACATGATATTATTCCAATGGCTACTCCAACTAAAAGGAAACCGGAATTTGAAGAATCTGTTGAGTTTTTTGAATTCTTGACTTTTTTCTTTTTTCTTTTGTTTTGGGAAGTCTTTTTTTGATTCTAACTTTAATGGTTTTTCTTTTCTTTCATTAAACTTTTCTTATTTTTCATTATTTAATTGAATAATTTATAGTCAGACCTTTCTTCTGAGTCTAACCAAACCGAACCAATCTCTGAAGAACCAGCACCGGATCCCGACAAAATCAGCATCACATTCACTCTTCCAATGGAAACTCTAAAGGTATGAACCCAAACAAAGGAAATTCCACAATAACCTATAAACAGTTCTTATGATAATTTTTTTTACCGTTCTCTCTCTGTCTTTTGATTTAGTATTTAAAACGACAAGAATATTTAGTAGTAAGACAAATCATTTTCTTATCGGGTTCAACTTGTCAATTAAAATTAAAAACCAATCATCAAGATATTGAATTTTTAGAATTCATTAGCTCTGGTACGAATCATCAAGTTTCAAAATCGATTGAACTTTTAACTTTAAAGATTTGGAAATGGAAATTAAAATCAAAATCTCAAACTCAAAATCAAAAAAAATGACTTGAAGCTTTTCTGGATTTGTTTTTTTTTCTGTTTGACTTTGTATTAAATGTAGAGATTGTAAGATTTTTTTGTTTTGGATTTGATGATCTTCTTTGGTATGATTGCTTTTTATTTTCTGTTTTCAAAAAAGACTACTCACTTAAATTGATTTGACCCTAAAACTTCTTTTTCTTTTCTTTTGGATTTCAGAAAATGTTTTTTTTTGTAATTATAGAATTAATAAATTGTTCTGTTTAGTACTAAGTAAAGGCAAAGTGAATCTCATTCCAAACAAAAAACAAAAGATCAGTTTTCATTATTTTTGATGGTTATTGAATGAAATCTAAACTGGGTTCTAGTTGTATACAAGTGATCCCAACGTTTGCATGAAAAACACCGCAGGATTTCTCATGAAGTGATCATTGAACCTGAGGTACAAAAAACATTCATGGAGTATATTGAAGTTGATTCATACAATTTGAAGGAATTATTTTAACACCCTTAACTTTAAAGAAGATGAAACCACCATCCAAACTCCCCGAAACCAGACCCAAAACCCTACGTGGGAACTCAAATCATTAAAAAATCAAGCATGTTTTTCTTAAACAAAGCATTACATACAACCTCTTCTAATACTATTAATCAAATCATCAACTTTATTCAACAAAACCTAAAACACACAGACAGACAGACATAAGTGGTAATACATCAAATCATTTTCTTCTTGTATGATCCATACTACATACTGATATATCAAAGTCCAAACCAAAAAGAATCCATCTGATACTTTCTCAAGAACTCCCCTCCCCCAAAAAAACTTTTTGTTGTTTTTACGTTATTTTACCTTACTTTACATCTTTTTCAACTTGAACTAATTTAATTAAAGGTTTTTTCGAAATCAAATCTTTAGAATGAATCAAATCTTTAACATAATTTAAATAAGTTTTAGCTAATGAATTCGAATTCGTTTGAGTTCGACTAGATTGATGATGAATCAAGTTCATTAAAAGATAAACTTTTTCCATTGAGTTTGATGGGTTTGATTTAATGGTTTCTAAAGGATTTAAAAGGTTAATCGATTTAATTAAAATTCTTGCTGAGATTGCCCAACAATAATTAGTAAACCTATGAAAAAAATAAAAAAAATGTTAGAAAAGAATCAAAATCATGAATTTGAATCAAATTATAAAATCTGGTTTGATTTACGGATGAAGTGAATTAAAATCAAATCCATTTAAACTCATCAACCAATCTCCAATTTGAACGATTGAGTTTGATGAATTCCAACAAATCTCAAACGATCGATCTTCTTCTGGAATCCCATTGATCATAAAACATTCATGTAATAAGATTTTACTTAAACAAATCATTAATTGAATTAAAACTTTGCTTTGAAGGTTTTTCATGTTGGGTAAGAATCGATTGATCGAAGTTTGAAAGTCTTGAATTTCTTCTTCTAATTTAATAAATGATTTTCTATACAAACACACAAAGATAAATTAAAACCCATCAACTTTTCCTTGAATATTCCTTCTTTCTTTCATTATATCTTAAGAAATGAATAAGATAAATAAGATAGTTTAAAATGAACTTACTGAAATCTTAAATCAGGTATATCACCCAAAGGTAATTTAGATTTCTTTTTCAAATTAAATCCAATCGGATCAGGTGAATGTCTTAACCAATCAGTTATCCTACCTAACAAAACAAACCCTTTAATTTCGATTTGAACTTCATCAATTTCAAGACCAGAATGAATCAAGACATTAAACAAATTCGGATTCGAAATCGAAAGTGAATGAGTTTGAAATTCATTGAATGTTAAAGTCGTAGAAGAAGTCAATTGATTTGATGGTAAGAAAGTCGATATATCAGATTCTTCTATCGAATGTGCTCTTCCTGAACTAACAGATAAGATTCGATCCATTTGAAAGATATACCAAAATGTTAACGATCTATGAGAAGAAAAAATCCAATTCGGATCCATAAGTTACTATTCTACGAAGAGACAGAAAGAAAAACATAAAGCTTGGTTAGACGTACCTTTGGTGTTTTTCAGTTAATGATCTAGGTGGTGGTAATAATACTCTAGGTCTTGATTTCTCTCCTGTTCTATATGCCAGACAATCTTCTAGATGATTTAAACCAAGTATAGTAGCAAACCTAACAGCAAGACCACAATAAACCCAAGCTAAAGAACCAAATCCAAAGAAAAAAACAAACCAATTGAGTAAGTCAAATCAAATCTTCTCAAGAAATGAACCCATAGAGAAAAAGGTGATCGGTTTACCTTCCACAAGACTTGCAATCTTATAATTATAAACTGAATAAATTATCATAGATTGAACCGCTTGAAACAAAAAACAATTAAGTTCAATAGCTTCATCAATTTTAATCTTTGCAAACTCAGCATGATATTCAGAACCAGTTTGATGTAGATTCCAATACCTATAACCTTCAAATCCGATTTCTTTCCAATCGATTCCATTCTCTTTTGGTTCTTCTAATAAAGTGATAGCCATGATCGAATGTAATAAACCAACAAATGGAAAATTCGAATCTAAAGGTGGTAAATGTAATGAAGCTTGTAAACTGATTCCATCTAAAAACATCATTTGTCCATTTCCATTTCTGTTTCTGTTTTGTTTTGTTAAATAAATTTCAATCAGTTTAGATACGATCGGTCGAGGTGGTAAGCTTTTGGGCCAATCTGTTGAAAGTAGGGTGGTATTTGAAGTGGTGGTGGTTTCATAAGTGATTGTAGTTTCTAGATTTTTTAAATTTAGATGAGTTAGTCTGTTTATTCTTTGGAAATTAGTATAAAATGATGTTGAGTAACTTACGATCTGGTGTGATTTGATTTAAAGGAATTTCAGGAAAAAGTGTAGATGGTAATGTATTACAAGAAATTGGATTCGGATTTGGGTTCGGATTCGGATTTGAGCTCGGATTCGGATTTGGTCGAGTTGGAGTTATATCAAATTCAGATATCTGTCTTTCAACTTCAGCTAAACAAAAAAACCCAATCAATCAATAAAAGAATTTATGTTTTTGAAAGTTGTGTGAAAGAAACGATAGATTTCATACCGATTTGTTCTTCTAAAGTATTAATTTTGATTGTTAATTGTTGTTGTTGATGATGATTGGTTTGTGATTTAAGTTGATCTACTTCAGTTTTTTGAAAAAGTGGATCTTGATCAGATATTCCTTCTTGAGAAGCTTGATTTTCGGTTTCATATTGACACAAAACAATACTAAAAAATACAAGCATAAGGGTCAGTCCAAGTTAAAGATAAAGAAGTGATAGAATACACTTACCTTGGATCTTCTCCATGAGCAGCTGCACTTCTACAACATGCACCACAAGCTGGACGTGCAGCGTCACATCTAACCTATGAAGATCACACAATGTTATGATGTTCAATGATCCAAGTGATAGTGTTGAATAGGAAGATGAATGGTTTACCTTTCTACTACGACAAGTTGAACAAGCTTGATTACGTTGTAATGGTCTACTGACTAATCTTTTGGGTTTCGATTTTAAATTGGATGATGATATGATCGGATGATGATCGAATTGAGCTGGTGGTAGTCTAGTTTGATGATGATATGATTCGATCGATTCTTGTCTGATTGAAGTTGATTGTGGTGATAAGTAGTTTTGAAGAATTTGATTGGAATGTGTTCGATCGGCTGGCATGATATTGATGGTGATGGTGATGATCCAAACTGCAATCGAAAGTGAGTCTGGAAGTTGGAACTAATGTAGTCATGATCGTCTAAGTTTTAAGTTTTCGGGTATTCGTCTCCTCTCGTCAGCACTGCCACTGCATCTCCATCTTAGAATCTTCTAAAGCTCAACTTCAGATCAAATCTTGAAAATCGCAAACTACAACAACACAAGATTCTCATAAGCAAAAACCTAAAGCTCGCTGATGATATCTTGGAAAAGGTCTACCCAAAATCTACATTCTTGCAAGTTGATGTCAATTTGATGGAAGTCACTGGTTGCTTACCATGAGCCTCAGCCATCATCGATTTGGCCTAGCCGTATGATTTGTTGATCGAGCTTCAAGAGGTTGATTAGGATAGAAAGTCTTGGATGGTCATGAGTCAAGAAGATATCCATTTTTGAATTTCTCGTTCGTCAAGTGGATTAACTTTTCATCCAAGGGATAAATGCTCATATGTAGTCTTTTCTGGTAAACAACATGATGAGTAATTCAATCCACTTGAAAACCATCGTTCGATATATGCGCTCACAAGAAACTAATGCTTCAAATTCCAGAAATCCAATCTTATCAATCAGGACCACCCATCACTCTAACTGGGTTAATTCTGTTCTTGCCAGTCAAATCATCATCATGGGTAAAGCAACTGATCAGAGAGACTTTACAGCAGATACTCAAACTTCAATTGAAGAAGAAAACGTTGATTCCATTCAGGTTAATAATCTACTTCTCTCTTCTTTTATATAAACAAACTAAAATCAAACTATTTCTTATGTATCTATCAGATCATCTTTGCGGCAGTAAGTTGGAAGGTCAGTTTACCCTCTACATACACTATCCTGTCATCTTGGAATCCTTCTTGACCGTTGATTCTTTTTTGGGGGGATTTTAGAACTCTGTTGGATGTGCTTATTATGATACTTTGAATGGATCTCTTTATTTGATGGAAGACGCTCAAAGTATGAGTGGTCAAGAAGACTTTCTCTCAATGAGTATGTAGTTTAGACATCCTATCATCTTGCTCAGTGCTCAGCAAAAATCATTTTAATGAAATTTACAAAAGTGTAGTTATTGAGCAGGTTTCCCCTCAAGTCGTCTTGGTAAGCTCAAAGGCAGAAGAAAGTCTTTTAAGTTGTCTTGAGAGATCTCGTTAGTACCTTTACTCTTCGATATCCATATCTTTGTCACTCATATTGATGAAGGGATGGCTTTGGTGTCTATGGCATTACTTTAGTCTTGGAACTAACTCCGAGTACCACTGCAGGAGAAGGTAGTGGAGACCAAAAGGCCTCTCAATTGGTCATTAGACCATCTCGTGATTTCAGCTCGACTTCTGGTGCAAATGCTCTCACTCAGATTGGAAAGAAACATGTCCCATTACTTTTCGATTCTGGGAGAGTCAAATCTCATTCTTGGATAAATCCTGATGAAAATTGGTCAGGAAATCCAACGCTTACAGCAAGAACTTTGATCAATACCGAAGCTTCACAACTAAGCGTAAGTGATATTGGTTTGTCAGATTACTCATTTTTGATCTTCTTTGTGTGTTAAACCTTCAATAGTTATCAGCCTTGGCTGCTCTTGTGACTTATCTCAATAAACGTACCATGCATCAACACGACGATGTTGAAACTTCTGAGGATGGTATCAAGTTCACAAGCGTAGAGATGATCCGAGTAGAAAAGTACGATGATCTTTTTCAAATCTATTATGTATCAAGATCTAACTTTCAAATTGGTTTTTTCAGATTCCTTCATATCGGTAGTGATGCTTTAAGATCATTACAAATCTTTGATCAAGAAGCACATGCTAATTTACATTCTAACAAAACAAAAGAAGGTTTATCTTTATATGGAATCTTAAATGAATGTGTAACTTATAGTGGTAGGATGTTACTTAAGAATTGGTTGATTAGACCTAGTACTCAACTTGATATCATTTCTGCTAGAGCAAATGCTGTTCAATGTTTTCTAGACTCAGAAAATGGTAAATTAGATTCGTGATCATGAACGCGTCTGGATACATCTTTAAATTCTCTTCTTATTTCATCAAAATCAAAATTATTTATGTTTGATACTGTTCTTTTTTTCTGTAAAGAACATTGTGCAGGTCGAATGCGTCAATACCTAAAATCAACTGGAAATCTGGCTCGAACGACCATGATTGTTTCTAGTGGAAAAGGAAGAGTAGGAGAATGGAGATCAGTCTTGAATTTCATGAGAGCCGCTGTAAATATTTGTGAAGAGTCAAAATCATTTATAGATTCAGATCTCAAGATCGGATTAATCTCAAGGGTATGTTCTATATTCCTTTAGACTTGGAATCTTATCGGTTTACAAATTGAAAACGGTTTGATCTTTTTTTGATGATTTCAGATCTCAAATTCGGATCAACATACTTCAGAATTAAATGAACAAGCTAAAAAGATTGATCTTGTGATTGATTGGGAAGAAAGTAAGATTAATGGTGGTAGAGTTATAGTGAAAAGTGGTATTGATGATGAGCTTGATGAGTTAAGAGAAAGTTATGCTGGTCTGGAAAGTCAATTAGTTTGTCAAAATTCACTCCTAACTATCATTTGCATATAAATTGATTAATTTAACAATTTCGTCATAATCATTAGGATCATCTAGCTCGAAAGCTTAGTGCAGAAACTCCATTTCTTTCTGCACCTGATTTCTCCATTGTCTATTTCCCACAGGTATTTATCAAACATCACTCATTTCATGTTCCGGTAGATTTTTGAATTTGTTTTTGAATCGCATAGATTGGATATCTTTGTCGTGTACCTCGAAATTCTGATCATCAAGAAGCTGAAGAACCGTTTCATGATGGATGGGAATTCCAAGTATGTAATCTTTCTAAAAGAAGATCAAGTGGCATTGGAACACATCTCATTGAGAATATATGAATTTCTTTCGTATTTGATAAGTTCGCAACTGATACACATTTACATTACAAGAATGAACATATGCGTGACTTGGATCATTACATTGGAGATCTGACAACTTCAATCACTGTAAGGGAAATCGAAATTGGTAAAATCGATTCCATAATATAGTGTTGAGATTGAGGTTGGTTGATTGATATGATCACTTACTTTTAGTAACTGCACTCGAAGCTGCTCTAGCCGTCATCTCTCCGATTCTGTTGAATTTGGCGAGTGACATGGCAGAGCTTGATTGGTGAGTAATCCAGTCATACTTAAAGGCTCCTATCTTCATCGCTGATATGGCAACATTATCTTGAAGTCTGTTATCACTGGCGAAGATTGCACATCTGAGAGAATGGGTCCGACCAGTGATGGTGGAGGAAAATGTGATAGAGATTGAGGGCGGTCGACATCCATTGGTCGAAGCCTGTGTGGAAAGTTTTATAGAGAATGATACGTATATGGTAAGGACCACGGAGTTGGGATTCACTCACTATCCTGTAGTAAAATTGATATGTTTCTTTGTAGGTTGGAGGTAAAGGATTAAGTTCTAAAGAAGATACAAAAAATCAAAAAGATCTAACACCAGAAGAAGACATAAATATGAGTATAGAAGAAGAAGAAGAAGAAACTCAAGAAATAAGTAAAGCTCATTCAATGATTGTATTAACAGGAGCGAATTTCTCAGGTAAAAGTGTTTATTTGAAACAAGTAGCTATGATTGTGATCTTAAGTCAGATCGGATCTTATATACCGGCTAAAAAAGCCAAGATTGGGATTCATGATGCGATCTTTACTAGAGTTACTAGTACTGAAAGTTCTTCACGTAATTCTTCTGCTTTTATGATGGATCTTCAACAAGTTTCATTTATGTAGGTCTTCTGTTTTTTTTGATCAATTGGATCGTTCTATACTCATCATGGTCAACTGTGGTTTTCTTTCCTTCTGATCACATTTGAAACAAAATGACGACTGTTTGGAATGTTTAGGTTGAGAAATTGCTCACGACGTTCGCTTTTACTGTTAGATGAGTTTGGAAAAGGGACTGATCCAATAGGTTAGTGAGATAAACTGAAGAAGAGTGAAAAGAAATTGTATTTCTTGAAGACTGATTTTGTTTAATAAGATGGACAAGCTATATTTTGTAGCGTGGTAGAGCACTTGATCAGAAGGGGAATAGAATGCCCGAAGACGATTCTTAGCACCCACTTTCACGGTGAGCATTTCTTTAACAAACCTTTTTCCATCTCGACATTCCTGTGGTATGAGTCAATTGACAGTGAGGGATGAACTTCAGCCGTGTTTTCTAGTGGTTCAATGCCAGTAGGACTACCGATACATTATTGTCATATGAGTATCATTCTCTCTACCAACGCTCATCAAAGTAATTCAAATCGATCAAGTACCGATTTAGAGCCTACCTATTTATACAAATTAAGTCCAGGACTCGTCACTTTATCACATGCACTTGGTTGTGCAGCTTTGTTTGGAGCACCGATACATGTTAGATTAAGAGCACAAGGCGTAAGTGAAGCATTGAGTAAACATGAGATGTTGGAATTGATGGATGATGGGATGAGTGATGATCAGGCTCAAGAACTTGATAGACTTGAAGGAGTTGTTCGTAGGTTTTTGATGACTGATTTTGAGAAAGAGAATCTAGAGGATGAGAGGATAGGTACTGAAGATCAGGATGAGGTGATGAAACATTTAAAGGAAGTTATTTTACAAATGGATGATGGATTGATGGATTGATGGATGAATGAATCATTAGTATGAAGACTTGTGTGTCATGAATTACATATCTTTTTTTGGTGGTTTAGACTTTCTAAGGGCATGTTCACTTAAGCAATTTCTGGTGACAAATCACATTCTGCAAAATTTGAAGTGTCTATTTGGTGGTGCATATTTCATTTTTGCATTAACAAAAATTACAGAATGTGATTTCTGGTCAGGAATTCCTCAAGTGAATGCACCCTTACAATTTGTTGGAGTGAGGAAATTTTCTGATGTGAGTTGGAGCCTAATTCACTTTCACATCATAGTGCTAGATGGAAAACTGTTTGTTAAATCATCCAATCTTGTTTACAGCTATTCTAGAAAGTTGTGTCATGGTGCAAACTTGACAAAATCCCTTGCTGACCTGTAATAGTACTGGCCAGCTCAAACAAAAGACTGTATGTGCAATGTCCAGATTTTGGCATGAAATCTGTTGTGGCAAGCCTGGCTTGCAGCACCACATAGCGCTACTAGCCAGGAAAACATTAGCGTAGTGTGCCAGCAAAACCACCAAGCTTGGTAGCTTTAGCGTTGGTGGGGGAACAAATTTGGGCAAAATCCATAGCAAAAAGTGTTATTTATTTCTGCAGCGCTTCCCAGCGTTACAACCAAAAAAAAATTCAAAGAAGGGAAAAAAAAAGTCAGAGAGTGTAAAGGCAAGTTAGATAAATTCTGTGTAAAGAATAAAAGGAAAACAATTGAAAGTAAGATATCAATAAAAGAACAAGAACCACTCACACATGAGTTTTGCAAGGTTTCTTTGAGATTGCTTTCTTGGCAAACTAAGAAGTGGAAGAGTAGGTCTGTGATGACTTTATATGTTATTTTGAATCTAAGTCTAACTTAACTAAGGTCCCTCTGCCTCATGAGCAAGCCTTAGCAAGCAGCAATCTAAGTAAGCAACCACTTGAAGATATGAATAAATAATCTGGAATTCCATAAAATCTCATAGACACTTTAATTCACTCTTTGAAAATATTATTGGATGGTTTGATGTTGTGATTTGGCTTATATAACATATCGAGGTAAGTCTTCAATGTGAAAATCTCTAGTTCTTTGTTGTTTAATTGACAAGCCTTGATCCATCACATATTCTTGTAATTCTTGCTCTTCTTTTGACCATCTGCTTAATTGACTTTTTATTAGACAAACGTTTCAGCTGTTTGTTTTTGGGTCAATGCTTCTCTTTTTCAATACTCTATTATTACAGTTTATGTGATACTGTGGTTGAGTTACGGTTTTGATTACCTGTAGATGGTCATGGAAAAGGTAGATGAAACAGGAACCATTATCGGAGTTGGGGGTTCTACGGTAGAATGAGGCTGAGTGGATTGATTGATTTGAAAAACCAAAGTAAGATGAGTTGATATTTCTTATGAGATGTAAAGATTAAAGATTGAAAAGAATCATAAACAGACCAATTAAACAACTCAAAATATTCTCGAGAATAGCTTGTCAAATTTTATCAGAATTGTTTCAATCAGGATGCCTTCTGATTTGATAAACAAATTTAACCACCAATTTGCATCCATGGATACCTCTTTGTAGATTAGAAGTACCACTAAGTGTTGTAGATCAAAGTGAATCTTTGGCCAAATGATTGTATCCTATTGGATCTGAATGAGATGGAGTTTAACTTCATGATAGATTGGGTCATAGTATTTAGTGTGAACATGGATGATACAGTAGAGCCAAGCGTACTGGTAAAAATCCCGGTCCCGAAATCGTAGTGCAAAGCGCAACACTTCAGTTGTGTGAGTCTTGGGTAACGCAGTGGCAGCACCCGGCACTACGCCATGCCGCGCTACCTTCTGCGCAGCGAGCCAGGTTTGGTTGTGGTATCTAAAATATAAACATGTAAAAGACACTTGCATGAAGTACTGTTCAATCCTCTTTGCTCTGGTTTACTTTAAGTTTGCCCCATATCACTTTTCATGCCTTTTAAATGTTTCACTTTGATTGTTTGATGGTCATAGTGTGATGCTGTCTTTGTTAGTCCTTCCTTGTGATTTTCTCACCTGGTGGTTAGCAAGCACTAGCATGTGCCATCACACTCTTCTTGTTAGTAAATAACATATCATTATATTTTCTTTGTTAGTACACAAGTGTACCTTTCTCCCCTGGGCTTTTGCAACACGTCAACAGAAATTATCTGTGTACAATCACACTTCTTTTGTTAGCCTGTCCTTTTGCAATTTTGTGGAAAGCAAGCACTGACTTTTGTCAATAGGAGGTATTAATGTCTACACACTGTAATTTTAAACATCATTTAACTTCCCCAATTTGGAAGAGGAGAATGATAAATAGTACAGTTTGTCATCACACCTGAGCCATTTCACCCACACTACATATGTGCAGCAAGCTAAGTCAATAGTTGTCTATTAAAGGTCTGCTCAGTCTTTTGCCCATCAGAATAAATAAATCACATGTTATACCACTTGTAACTTTTTTGACTTTGAAAAATTGTACCAAAAATTCACTACATGTAATTCTGTAGCTGCTCAGGCAACATTGTTGAAGCTATTTCTTAGTAACAGAAAGGGTGTTACATGCAGTTGAGTTGATGAGATTACACCAAAACATTGAGTCAGTGTATGTAGTAAATCTTTTGAATGCTTTTTTCAATCTCAAAAAAGTTACAGCATGTATTACATATGAATAACTTATCCTGATGAGCAGATAACTGAGCAGAACTGTATGTACATGATAACCATATATTCACTGATCCTGCTACACATATGTAGTGTGGGTGTTATGGCTCAGGTGTGGAGTGATAGATCATTTTATGACAAATCATACTCCCAATCATTTTTTCCTGCCCACTTGGGCAAGTTGAATAATGTTTGCAGTGACAATCACACTGCCTTTGTTAGTCCACAACTGTGCTTTTAGAACTTTGTGGAAAGCAGGCACCGTCTTTTCTGTATTACCTTCCAACCCACTGTCCTACAATTGGATTTATTATACAATTGAAAACCTTTCATCCTTCTGACCTCTTACGCTTTTGTTCCTTTTCCTTACAATCTTCAATCCTGAGGTTTTCCAATTGTTACCTCAAATGTTGCTGAAATATCCAATCACAAGCTTTCTCAATTCTAACACCATATGTCACAATCTCCAATGATGAGCTTTTACCGGCTGCTATGCCAAACTATGTGTATCAGAGTTCAAAGGCCTTGTTGACATGGCTTCAAGGCTGCCTAACTATACGCAATCCTCTACACAAATCATAGTGAAAGGGTTAGACAGAAACAATTTTGGAGAGGTCAGGGGTACAGTTTGATCCACTTGGTTAACAAAGATTCTTATCAATATGGTATGTGTTACACCCTTGCTTGGATATAATTTTTATTTTGCAATATGACAACTAAAATTCCTACAATTTGGAAGCATCTGAATGCAACAGGATCACAAAGATGAACAAATGTGAAAAGATGAGTAAACTAAAAATGCTGATAGACGTAATAAAGAGATAGCGTAAGATTTAAGTATGTTGGATGAGTTTTTAAAAGAAGTCAAATTCACTTACCGATTCTTTTTGATAGGGGAAAAGAATCTGAGTGATGAACAAACAATGCTATATATATATATGTACTAGCAAAAAGAGAAACATTGGATATACATATCATTATAAAAAGAAAGAAGAAGAAAAATCTCAAGTCACAAGCAACTTATTCCCAAAGCAACCAACAAATATCTATAATAAATCCTTTTATTATCACCCCTTCACCTTTCTTATCTTGATTTGTAATAATCTTCATAATGTAGTGTTCAATATGATGAGCATTCATTATATAGTGGGAGCCATCAAGACACAAGAAGCCACGGACCGGGTAGTTTGTAATTACATACAACAAACATCTGATTTTCCTCTGGTACACTCTTGACCGTCAGGAATAAAAAAAACAAGAACTTTGAAAATTGGTCTTCTGATGATATTTTTGAATAGTCCTCAACGAGAGGACCCCAAAAATATCTTGATTTTTAAATTGAGTGATATTTGTGACTTTGGCAATCTTTTTTGAAAAATTATCCGGTTAAGTGGCTCTTGATGGTTCCCACTATACATCAGTTTACACTGACTGGAAGTACTTGGAAATATCAAATCAAATGAGATATCAATGCAAACATTGTGGTCAGACTAATATCACAACAGCCCAGGGTGAGATTCAAATTGCCTGAGGTGGTAGCTTCCATTACTTCATATTCAAACCAACAGTGTAGTATTACAGCTCAACAAGAGCTTTACAACACCTCAGAAGGGATGATTTACTAATGTATGAATAGTAGAAGTTGCCTAAAGACTGCCTTCCTCAAAGAAACTAGCACAAGGGCACTTTCAACCACTTTGTGATAACAGAGAAAAAGATAAAGGCACCAGAGAAATGATCTCAGAACTTATAAAAGTATTATTCCAGTTTTAAGCACAAAAAGTCCACAAAATAGTATCAATTACTAGAAATACTGTTGTAAGTATGAGTCCCAAAGAGATTTATAGTCTTGAACACACCTAAAAAAATTCTCCTGACTTGAAGGGGTGGATTTAAGTGACCTCCAAATATAGTAATTTAATAATGATTAAAATCACAAAGGTATAAGATATGAAAGAAGGGTAACAAGGCACGTAAAACATCAACCAATACCATATATCATCCCTGTATTCTTTCAACAATGGTAAACAACCTTCAAAAACCAACACAAACTTCACAAAACCTAAAAAAACCTCTGATATAATCTTATGATGTAATTATGAATAATGAATGACATGATTTAAGCTGTGAACTTGACCAATTGATGTTTATAGATGATGAATAGATCTTCTTATGATGAATACAGGTGATTTTTCCTAATATCCATAGCTGAAAACCATTTTTAGAATTACAACTTTTTTGTAAAGTTGTTCAATTTTAGATTAATTACTAGAGCTCATTTTATAGCCCTGTTGATAATTATTATTGATGGACCCATTATGACCTACTTCTGATGCATGATAAATAAGCTATTGAGCTGTAGAGATTGATAAAATAAGCTTTTTGACATGTAAATGTTGCTACATGTGTGTATGTAAGCGCAAATGTTAAAATTCACACCATTAGAGCATCCACAATTGTCGGGTTAACTCGCGGGAATAGCTAAGTATTTAACTTACCAATAGCAAAATTTCCACAACGCTCCAATTTTAACAACTCTTTAGTTAACTTTGCGACAAAAAATCAGTACGCTGAGACAAAGTTATCCCAGCCTACCAATGTGTTAGCTAACTCTGAGTAGCTCTGAGTCCCAACCTCACACTGTTATGAGCCATCTACAAGACTATTTACGTATGCTTGTACTGTGTTGTATGCTCACTTAGATTCTGGCTCAAGGATCGCCTGTGCATCCTCACGTTACAATCCAAATACCATTACAGAGTTATCTTTAGCGCCTTGCATTCCTACACGCCTGTTTGAGTCCTTACATATTGTAACGTCTATCCTTTTGGAATCCAAGGAAGCTAGAGAATAAGGAAGAAGATTGAGTAAATTTCGAAACATAGAAGACCAAGAAGATTCATAAATAAAGTTAAAGTTAATTGATTAGAAATCAAGTAGTTATAGGAAGATTGATCTTCAAAGTTTCAAAAGCAAGATTCAAGAGAACATTATTAAATCAAAAGCGTAAATCACTCTATCGCCAATAGTTCAAGTAATCATTACTGTGTGAGATCACATTCAGTTCACAACGCCGGACTTCACGCTACCTCAGAGCCCGACTTCTACAAGTCTTGATTCTACTAGTCATACTTCAGACATATTCGAGGATATTGTAGAATCTCCATCTGAAGCAAGGATGTCTAATATCACTCTGGAGGATGTCATGAAGGAGTTAAGTTTAATGAATACAAGATTAAATGAAGAAACAGAACTCCGGACGAAAGCTGAGACTGAACGTCAAGAAGCTAATGCCCGGAGCCACAAGTTGGCTCAAAAACTAGCACAACTCAAGTTAAACCAAAACATGGGTCAATCTCATGCAACAAGTTCAGCACCTCCTGTAACCCATCCTCAGGTCCCAGTCCAAGCCTCTGTGCCCAAGCCTCCTAAGATCACAACGCCGGATAAGTTTGACGGATCTAAAGGACCCAAAGCCAAAGTGTTCATGAACCAGCTTGGACTGTACATGAAAATGAATGCGTCTAATTTTGCTGACAAGCAATCGCAAGTGACGTTCGCGTTATCCTACATGACTGGGAAAGTGAGCATCTGGAGTCAAGCCTTAACTGACCAACTGCTCGACCCAGAACGAACTCATTTGGTCAATTGGTCTAAGTTCACTCAATCATTCCGGGCAACCTTTTTCGACACTGAGCAAGTATCTAAAGCTGAAAGGGAAATCCGAGCTCTGAAGCAAACTCGATTGGTATCAGATTACTGGATATGCTTCTCTGAATTATCACTTGTGGTTAAATGGTTTGAAAGCATTCTTATATCTCAATTCAAACAAGGCCTTAAACCGGAAATTGCAATCTACATGATTAATGAGCAGTTTGAAGAGGTTGAAAAATGGCGCATATGGCTATTAAAATCAACAACAAACTTCATAAGCGCCACAACGAGTTGACTCATACATCCATACCGCCTACTACTCCACACACCACGACCACAGACCCCAATGCTATGGACTGCTCAGCGTACCGTCTCAATGCTTCATCCAACAAGTACAGTCGACGTGGCTCAACAGGAGCATGCTACAGCTGTGAAAGTTTAGAACACTTCATAGGAAACTGTCCAAAGGCAAAGAGACGTAGAGGAAATGGAGGATTTAGAGGGGGAGGCGGCAGAGGAAGTGAAATGAGTAGATTATGAGCAAGAGTAGCAGAATTAGATAGCCAATTGTCTGAAGTAAAAGGAAAGGAAAAGGAGGAAGGGAGGTCGGAAGTGTCAAAAAATGGAGATGCTTGGGAGTGATAGTTGTACCTCCCCCAAGCAAATCTGGTTTAGGAGCTGAAGTTGGAGTTATTGATAGTCTTGAAATGAAAGATACTTGTATCATTGAAAGCATCCAACTCCACGACCCTAATTCTGACACAACCCTGACCGCTGGAGCTTTAATAGACAGTGGTGCGACCCATGAGGCCATGAGTCTCAATTTTGTGGAAAGACACAAACTCCACACTGATCCCTTGCCCAATTATCACAGTGTCACTGGATTCAGCGGACACAAATCAAAAATTACTCACACAGGTGATTATATTGTAAATGAAGAAAATCAACTAACCACTTTTATTATCACTCAACTACGCGACAAATACAATGTAATTCTTGGAATGCCATGCATTAAAAGAAATTATCATTCAATTAACTGGAAAGGAAGTGAAATCAGGAAGAACATCAATCACATTGAAATGTCAAAGCCGCAAATAGCCTTGATGGACCCGGACGTGGAGCCTGATAGGCATGCTAGGCACAGTGACACGGGGGTTGAGCTCAGTAATGACTCGTCAAAACCCCCACAATGTGAGTATTTCTCAAATCCTGAGTTATGCATCAAAGAAGCTCTTTGCAAGCTTAAACACCCTCTAGAACTTGAAAACCAGACACCGACAAATGAAAAGAACAAGGAAGAAGCCCGATCACCTGCAGATCCCACATGTGCGTCTTTGTCCAATCCGAAAAACACCTCGATAGACCTCGACGAGGAACTGGAGAGGAAAGCTAGGAAAAGTGACATGGGGGTAGAGATCAGTAATGACTCGTTAATACCCCCTCAGAGTGAGTCTGTTAACAAAATTGTAAAAACACCCCAAGAAAAACTGAAAAAGCAGACATACCTTCTACAGAAACCAGCAGGAACAATTACGAGACCCACAATTCGACCGCTAAGGACAAAACTTTACTCTCAAATGCTGAAATCATCAGGAAAACTCCAACCGCAATTGAATACAATGAAGGCCTCATGGAATGTATTGGCTAGACTGACTGCTAATCAAAACAAAGGCAAGCCTGAACAGTCAGCCACCGACTTAGTCCCGAAATCCTATCACGACTACCTTGATATGTTTGAGAAAAGCAAGTCCAACATCTTACCTCCGCATCGACCGTACCACTTTAGGGTTGATCTGGTCCCAAACGCAACACCTCAGGTGGGAAGAGTCATCCCGTTATCTCCCAAAGAAAGTGCGGTACTGGACGAAATGCTAGATAAAGGACTTGCAAACGGAACCATACAAAGGACGACTTCTCCGTGGGCCGCTCTGGTATTGTTCACGGGAAACAAGGATGGGAGTCTATGGCCATGTTTTGATTGCCGTAAACTCAATGCGGTAACAGTCAAGAACAAATATCCCTTACCGCTGACAATGGAGTTAATAGACAGTCTATTGAACGCGGACCAATTCACCAGTCTTGACATGAGAAACGGCTACAACAATTTATGAGTCAGAGAAGGTGATGAGGCAAAACTTGCTTTCATATGCAAAAGAGGTCAATTCGAGCCGTTAACAATGCCATTCGGACCAACTGGAGCCCCCAGATTCTTTCAATATTTTATTCAAGATATATTTAAAGCTCACATTGGAAGAGACGTCACAGCTTATCAGGACGACATACTCATTTATACCCAACCGGGAGTTGATCATGAAGCTGTTGTGAAAGAAGTCTTAGAGATATTGAGGAAGCAAAATCATAAAACTAAAGGCACGACCATGTTTCTCGGCAAAACTGGATTAAACCCCTAGGCCCTTGATAAGTCTTATTTGCAGGCACTTAATTTCCCTGTCCCAGCCATTTTCCATAACCCTCTCCTTGCTAAATTCATAAACTGGGGTTGCTTACTAAGCTTATGGTCTTGTATATCAGATTTGGAACACCATCATCAATCTGATGCGATATCATTCTGATGTATTGTGAGCATTTACTGAGCATTGACTATGTCCAACATCTTCTTTATGTATGTTCTTGTCTTTTTTCTTTTGGTCCATGTTTCTGGAATACTGATCTATTGACTGATGTTCTTGATCTCACAAGGATATAGGGCTAAAGGCCGAATTCTCTCCTCCTGGGAGTGAGGCCAAAAGACAAATTTCATTTGTTGCTCAATCTTTGTATGTCTTTCTTCTCCTTGTTGCTCTGATCACATTTAACTGACCTAATGTCATCCTCAATATCATTCAATTACCTCCATCCCTTGACCATTTCCTATTGATGTTATGCCTACCTTTACCGTTCCAACACTGCATTATTCCAAAAAGATTTTGCTTTCGCTTAGAAAGATTGAAGAAGACCAAAATGCTCGGGTCACCCTTTTGGAGTATCTAAGCAACTTCACCCAGTCGAATGGGACAATTTTGTACAGGAGACAAAAATCTTGGCCGAGGAGATTCCCGTCTTATGCATCTGCCAATGGACAAGATATCACGAGTTCAAGCAATGAAAAGGTCGAGAAGAAGAAGTCGAATGATATTCCGTTTTATACCATCGGTTTCAAGTCTGCTACACCCGAATACACTCTTCGAACTCGAATTTGGGCATCTCTTCGCGCTCAGACATCGTATCAAACGGTAACCGGGTTCATGAACTACTCCAAAGCCATCAAGCTCCTCTATCGAGTCGAAAACCCCAACATTTTACAGCTTTACGGTGACAATCCGGACAAGTTAGAACGCACGTTGGAGCGGATGGCCAGGCAAACGTTTCAATTTGTGGTCTCTATGCAACGATACTTTGAATTCAGCAAGGAGGAAGTCAAAAACACCGAGTTTTTACTGAGAGCTTATCCTGATATCAACATTGTGTGTCTATACAAAGACAACCAACGTAAAGAAGGAGGAGACTCAAATTTACTCTGCGTTCATCGATGGTCATCAGGATAATTATCTTAAAGAGTATCTCGAGATTTGTAACATGCTTGGAGAATTTGAAGATTTTTATGTTTCCAACCGATCACCGTACTTATCGACTGGTGCAAAAGAATTCACCAAGTTTCCTGTTGCGATTGTCGGAGCAAGAGAATACATTTTCTCAGAAAACATTGGTGTTCTCGGTGGTGTTGCAACTGGAAAAGAACAAATCTTTGGCACACTCGCTGACAGATCGTTATCATTCATTGGGGGAAAGCTACATTAAGTGCATCCCAATTTCCTTAATGCCATCTTTATGACGACTCGAAGAGGCGGTGCAAAGGCTCAAAAAGGTTTATATCTCTCTGAAGATATTTACGCAGGTATGGATCCGTTTGGTAGTACTTCGGAACCCAACTGCCCCTTGATCGACTTCTTACATTTTATTATGCTCATCCTGGATTTCACATGAATAAGATTCTCGTAAGTCCCATCTCTCCATTTGATATCCTCATATGCGGCGAGTTGACACGTAATCTTTACCCGACCAGATCATCTTTGCTGTTCAAGGTTTCATGTTCACGATGGTATTCCTAGGTACATTGAATTCCTCACTGACAATTTGTAAACACAATTCAGAAGGTCAATTCATTGTTTTGCCCGATTTTTACAACTTCGTTCCCACATACGATTGGATCAAGCGATGTATCGTGTCTATCTTTATCGTTTTCTTGATGGTTAAGTTATTCATGCGCACGAACCACTCTCAATTCGATACTTATGTGTATTGATTTTATAGATTTCCTGCCACTGTTCTTGCAAGAGTTGACTGAACGAGGGGTAATCTCGGCTTAATCCGACTTGGAAAACAACTGGGATCCTTGTCACCCGTCTTTGAGGTCTTTAGTACCCAGATTCAACCACATGCCTTATTGACCGACATGACGTTCAATGGAGCGCGATACATTGCAACTGGACGTGGATTTGCGACCACACAAATCTCATTCGCAATTCTTTACTCACGTTTTGCTGGACTGAGTATCTATATAGGGATGCGAACGTTGTGCCTTTTGTTATATGTCACCGTGAGTCTTTGGATTCCATCGATTCTATACTTTTGGATCTCCGTCCTGGCACTTGTTTGGCTCCTTTGATCTTTAACCCACATCAATTCAGTTTTACAGACTTCATCATTGATTATCAAGAGTTTTTGAGGTGGACGTGTAGAGCAAACAGTCGATCGCATGCAAATTCTTGGATTGGATGCTGTCGATTATCTAGAACTCAAATTACTGGATTCAAGAAGACAAGATTAGGTTTACCTTCTGAAAAGCTTTCGACAGACGTTCCTAGACCGGGTTGGAAAGTGATCTCGTTATGAGAAATCTTGGCTCCTATGGTTTGGAACATCTCGCACGCTGTCCTTGGAATGATTGCCACTATCGCGATTCAAAGAGCGTTGTTTAAGCTCTTGATTGCTTGCTTTTTGTCTACAGAATTTAAGCACGATGAGACTAATCGAGCTTGGTGGACTGGGAAATGGTATGGTCGGAAATTGGGAGCGCACGCTTGGTCACAGCCTGTGCAAGAATTCATTTTCAAGATCGTCGAGGTTTGTATCTTTTTTGAGTGATCTAATTGGGAATGAGACTGATATACATGCTCTTCTTTACAGATGTCATTGTTTAGTGCGGATCTGTTAACATGTCACTTTGTGTTGATCATCTTATCGGTTCCACTCTTGATTCCATTCTCGAACCGATCACATCTGACAATGTTATGTGAGTACTTACGTTTTCTTACAATTTTTTCTATGTCTTCACTGATGCTGATGATGTGACATCAAACAGTCTGGTTGAGACCAAGTAAACAGATCCGACCTCCAATCTTTTTGTTCAAGCAAATAGCTCAAAGACGAAAGATTGTGGCCACCTATGGTGTCTTTTATGCAATCATCATCGGTAGCTTAATCACCTTTATTGTAAGTTTTTCTTTCTTGAGAGCTTCTTGGTCAACATGAACTAATGAATGACTTTATTTCCCCACTCGATCATGTTTCTATTTAGGTCCTACCGATTGTTTTTAGATCATCTTGAATTTAAAGCAGACTGTTTGATTTGTAGAAGCATTTTTTTCATATTTTTCTTACATTTTTACATTTTTCGACTTCTTTATCAATCTTCAGCTTAACATGTTGTCTATCTTTTTTCCCATCTCTATCTCTTCAAGACATCCTTTTTTAACAACATCTTTGAATATTTTCTTATACGCATTCATGTATCACTTCTGATGCTCATAAACTTTGCCAGTAGCCCCAAATTTGGTACAAAATTTAATCTTATCTGTATAACCCCCAACTTCATCTTTTGAGCTGGATAGAATCAAAGAAGCATTAATTCATTGCATTTGGATTCCACATCACCGATACAATTGATCCAACTCATGGATATCTTGGACTTCATGAATCAATCAAATTATCTTCAAACACAACAGCACACCCTGATGAACTCATACCTTTTGGAAAAATCTACCTTGAATCATGAATGTGATATCCGTACAGAAACAACAAAAGTCAACATCAAGTATCTAAACTGAGTCTGTAATCATAACTCAGATAGTGTTTCATTGAATACCTTTTTAATTTGGTTTTGGCCTGGGTTCTTTATTCATCATTTCAAATCCCTTTGTGTGTTTTGGTTGATATGATGACAATGTCAGAGACAAAAAAGATGAGTATTTTTAGTTGTATTAATATAATTTATGTGTTTATGTTGCAATGAACTTGAGGGGAATCCATGATAAGCTTGATGTTACAAACCAAGACAAACAACAAAACTTGGCATGTTGACAGCGGCGCCCGCCGCTAAGGTGCTAGTGTATGGTTAAAGCCGGAAAAATGCAAATTTTCACAGAAAGAAATATCTTACCTGGGATTGATCATATCTGAAAATCAAATTAAGATGGATAAAACCAAGGTTAAAGCAGTCACTGAATGGCCAGTACCTCGGAATGTATCTGAAGTACAAACTTTTATCGGGCTCGCAAACTTCTACCAACACTTTATAGGTCAATTCTCAAAAATTGCATGGCCATTACACAAATTATCACAAAAAGACACTCCTTTCAGTTGGACCGAAGCAAGACAGAAAGCGTTTCAGGACCTGAAGGAAGCATTTACTACCGCCCCAATTCTTAAAATAGCAGACCCTTATAAACTTTTTGTACTCAAATGTGATTGTTCTGATTACGCACTTGGAGCAGTTTTATCTCAGATCTCAGATGGTGATGGGGAATTACACCCTGTGGCATTTCTTTCACGTTCCTTAATTCAAGCTGAACAAAACTACGAAGTTTTTGATAAGGAATTATTGGCAGTGGTAGCTTCCTTGAAGGAATGGAGACAATATCTCGAGGGCAATCCTAATAGACTCAATGTGATAGTTTATTCAGATCATAAGAACTTGCAGTCCTTAATGACTACTAAAGAATTAACTAGGAGACAAGCGAGATGGGCAGAGGTCTTGGGTAGTTTCGACTTTGAAATTAGATTTAGAGCGGGTAAGCAATCCACAAAACCTGATGCATTATTGCGAAGACCGGATCTCATGCCGAATGAGGGCGAAAAGTTCACTTTTGGACAACTATTGAAGCCACAGAACTTACCGGCTGATGCCTTCATTGACAAGTTAGACCTTGTGAGTTCTTGGATGGTGGAAGAAAATATTGACCCCAGTGTGCAGATTAGTGAATTCAATCTAGAGGAACAGAAGATGGAAGATGAAGGCAACCTTATATGGAAAGATGAACAAATACTAAATGAAATCAGACTCAAATCAAAATCAGATCCGAAATTATGTGAAATTCTGCAACTAACCCGGGAAGGATGGACGTCAAAATTCCTAAAGGACTACTCAAGCACCAATGGCATCCTTTATTTGAAAGACAAGATTGTGATACCAAATGACAACAATTTCAAAGTTCAAATTTTACAATCACGACATGATAGTCGGCTGGCTGGACACCCGGGAAGGATGAGAACCTTAGCATTAGTCAAGCGTGGCTACTATTGGAAATCAATGAAGTCATTTGTCAATCAATATGTTGATGGATGCCAGTCATGTCAACGTGTCAAATCAAGAACAACCAAGCCATTTGGAAGTCTCAATCCTCTCCCAATTCCACTTAAAGTGGATTTTACCTGTAAGAGTCAGGTAATCAGCTTATTGAAGCTGAGCACTTGACCAAACTGAATGAGAACAATCTGAGATGAAATGAAGATTGTACGAATAGAAATGTTTAAGTTCGATGAAGAAAAAGAATCTAGGTAAACAGCACACAAGAGTCTTTTATAACGAAGTTAAACATTGACGTCATACATCTTACAGTAACAAGTGTAATATGATGAAGCAAAGAAGTCTAGATGAATTTATAAGCCAATGATTATGAATCTCAATTATTCCCAGTGGACCGTGGACAGACATCTGTTACGATTTAATAACAGATCTTCCCAAATCTGATGGTAATGATAGTATCCTAACGGTGGTTGACCGTCTAACAAAGATGGCACACTTTGTACCTTGTAGGGAAACCATCACTTCGGACGAACTTGCTAAATTGATGATTAAGAACATCTGGAAATTACATGGAACACCGCAGTCAATTACATCAGACAGAGGTAATGTTTTCATCTCAAAACTGACAAAAGATATGAATCGAAGGCTAGGCATAATCACTCAATTGTCAACCGCGTACCACCCACAAAAGGATGGACAGTCCGAAATCACTAACAAAGCAGTTGAGCAATATATTTGTCATTTCACTTCTTATAAACAAGACGACTGGTGCTCACTGCTGCCAATGGCCGAGTTTTCGTACAATAATAATGATCATGTAGCCATTGGAATGTCACCTTTCAAAGCAAATTACGGATTCAATGTTAGTTTCACCGACGTACCTACTGGCGACCAGTGCCTACCTTCAGTTGAGCTTAGATTAGCACAGTTGAATGGAGTTCAGAAATAATTGAAGGATTCAATGCAAGTGTCTCAAGAAGCGATGAAGGAAAAACATGACAAGAAAGTCCACAAAACACCAAATTGGAAAATTGGAAGTAATGTCAACCTAGAGGTAAGAACACATACCCCTAGGAGGACAAAAAGCCCATACGCACATAACAAAATTAAAAACCATGTAAAAAACATTAAAACTTCAAGGATCATAAGATACCTCGAAGCGATCACATCTCACACTCCAGTTTCAAGAGTGAATAGAATAAAAACCCTGACCATGACAAGCATCATGGCCAGGCGCAAACCCAGTCGTAACCAAGACTGAGTTGACTAAAGAAGACCAACTCAGGGCTTGGCCAGAACTACGATAAAGGGAAAAACCCTGACCAGGCCTTCGTTTAAAACGAAACGAAGCAACCAGTCAGGACCCTTCCCCTACCTATTCAAATCCTGACCAAGCAACTAAGAAAGACGAATACGCGTCAAACCGAACAAGAACACAGGATATAAAAACCAGGTTCTTTCTCGGTTTGATAATAATCCCCATCCCGAATAACACCAACTAAATTTACTTTCTAGAAAACCTTTTTAAAAGACTTCTATAACAATTCAAAACACCAGCCGATTTCATCTATATCAGAACTTCTTAACTCAACTGTTACAAAGTCCTCTTATTGTTGTTATCTTCCGTGTTATCTTTTATTGTTACACATCTTATAAAAGAGTTCACTAGCAAGCTACGATTTAGTTAAAACTCCTTTCTTACCATCCAATCAACTAGTCGAAGATAGTTCTCAGATCTGATAATCTATAAGACGATACTAATCTTATAGATTTGAAGTAGACCTTACAGACTCACCCTGAGGAAGGATTACTCTCGTAACCTCCTGTAGAAGACCGGTTGAATATATTGACTATATCTGTGAGGGTAGAGGACTTATTTGAGAACTCTAGGCTCACTAAATGGGTCAGGAGGGGTAGTATTACTTTTATGTATAAAGTTTATATTTCAATTATAATGTAATTACAATAAAATAAGACTAGAATGAAAAGAGGAAAGGGGAAAGGCTGGTCTGTTTGGATAAATCCAGACAGACTACAGTTAAGAGACTCCTGAAAATGAGGTTTGTCATTATAATATATAAATGTTATAATTAATGAAGGATGGATCCCACAGTCCTTCCTTTAATCTTTAAGTAACTGATTAAAGAGTGAAATAAGGTCACTACACTGGTTGTTCTTAAAGTCACCAACTTATCACAGGGGGAAAAATAGAAGCTCTCATAGATGTGAGCAGATAAAGTTTGGAGGTTTCTCCAAGATTGTTTCCAGTTTGTTTCCAATTTTCTTCCAATTTTCCTCCAGTTTTCTTTCAGCTCATCATCTGATCAAATGGTCAGCATGGCCTGAGCAGATGGGTTAGGCCTTCCTCAGGCTTTATCCCTTAGCCAAGAAGCCTGAGGGAGGGCTAGCTCATCTGCTCAGGTCATGTCGGGCCCTCCAATGCTCAGCCTGCACAGTCAAGTGACCAAATGTGATTGAGCGGTGAGAGACCCAACCAAACGTGAAAAACACAATGGGAACCATCCCTTTGGATGCTTCTGATCCCAGGAATGCTACTGAGGACTAGGTGAGCAGCTGTGCTGAACTGAGCAGCCCCTCAGCTAATACTCGGTGACATCCTTTGAATACTTCTGATCCCAGGAATGCCACTGAGGACTAGGTGAGCAGCTGTGCTGAACTGAGCAGCCCCTCAGCTAATACTCGGTGACATCCTTTGAATACTTCTGATCCCAGGAATGCCACTGAGGACTAGGTGAGCAGCTGTGCTGAACTGAGCAGCCCCTCAGCCAATACTCAGTGACATCATTTGGATACTTCTGATCCCAGGAATGCCACTGAGGACTAGCTGAGCAGCCCCTCAGCCAATACTCAGTGACATCCTTTGGATCCTCTTGATCCCAGGAATACCACTGAGGACTAGCTGAGCAGCTGCACTGAACTGAGCATC